TCTTCCCATCAAAATACACAAGATCAATGATGAACTGTGAAAGACCAGGGAATCCATACTAGATGCTTTCAACAATGTTAATGAAATTAAACTATATTGAACTTAAAATAAAGTCTACCAAATAGTAATGGTTCAACCCACTGGTTGCCCTCTCCTGAACACAGTTTAGTATGCCAACTCTCCTCAACCACTTCTCTTTCCACAGAAGCACCCTTGTTGCCATTCACACAAGAGAACGCGTCTTTGTTGCTACTGGTTCCAACTAACCTCTGGAAATGCCTATTTTACAAGTTTATTCTGAATTCAGAACTGATGTGATTAGAAAACAGACTCAGCAATTCAAAACCACTAGAAAAAAATCACTTTAGAAGATAAAAAAATAAGTGACAACTCTCTACACAACAGAGCATTATATTTATTGTAATTCAGACACCCTGGGCTCAATGTTCTTGCTGTTTACACCAACATAAATCAGAACTGACTCTGCAAAGTTACTCAAGTGTGTAACTGTTTTAGACAAAAGGTAAGAGCCTTTCAATACTCTTTCCTATCATTGGCCTACAGACCTGGTAACGAAATGACAACAACCCATACCTTCCTGGCAGGATTCTAGAAGACCAAAAAGCAGGATGGTAAGCACACAAATTAGTAACATTTGCCACTATTGTCCAGCTAATGAATTATAAGGAACACTAGTGTTGGGCACTGTAGCGGAGTTTAAAGAATGTGTCTGGTAGTTATAATAGTAGGCTTCAAAGACAGAGGACTACAATTAAAACTTTATTAGTAATATAGCTGATTTCCAGATATCTTCCAAAACCTTCTAAAAACAGCCCTAGGGAGTCAAGAACAGTGGTGAAAACCACTTGAGATGATAAACAACTAAGCTACAACTCTGTATACAACAGAGCTTTATAAGTGAGTTAGTTCTTAGTAAATAACTGGAAGGGAACTGTAGCTGTTAGAAAGCCAGTTACAAGAAAAATTGGTGGTGTTTTCCAATCGATCCCATGGATTTTATCAGGCAGCACAAATCAGTTACGTGGAAGTCAGTCCAAACTGAGGTGGCTTTTTGTTTGTCCCACTTCTCCTGTTCTTTTGGAGCAGCAACTGGCTGGACTTATTTCCCCACACTAAGTCCTATATAATGGACCAGATTTTGCAGCCAGCCGTGCTTCTGTGAAGCAAGAACAGCTCCAGCACATGCTTCCTCGCAGGGCTGAAAGCAGACTCAGCCCCATGGCCTCAGTCCAGAAACAATCCTGTAATGCTCTGAAGGACCAGTGTAGACTGGAAAATTTAATGGAAGAATCACCTTTCCCTCAAATGTTACCTCTCACTTAATAGGTGTGACCATCATTAATGCCATATGCTTACAAACAATCCCCCAGCCCACCAAACCTGAGAAATGCAAGACCGCATTTAATGCTCACTTACAGAAGAAGATACAAGAATATCTCTGGTGAAGTCCAAGAAGTTACACTGGCCTGACAGCAGTTCTGGGGAGAGGCTTAAAGTGTCCATGAACAATATTTTAATAAAAAGATTCATTTTTAACTCATTTTCCTGCATCATCTTCCATTCCAGTTTCTCTGCAGTTGTGCTTGTGGCCCATTTTCTAGACAGTTTTCTGGACTCTGTGAGTGTATGGGTAAAGACCGCTATGTGCAATAAACTCCATTAGAAAATACTTATCTCTGACTAATCACCCACTAGTCTGTTTTCCCCTCAGTGTCCTTTTAGCAGGCAGTTAATGAAGTTAACAGCAGTGACCCTTAAAGTGATACTTAGAGAGTACTCATTGCTAATACATTGCTCACAGTAATTCTTCCAAGCAGACACGACAGTGAAGGAGTGGCAAGGACTTCTCTGTTCTGTTTTGATTTTGTTTTTTTCTAAAGCAGATTTGAGTGAAAAAATGAGGGTTGCTTCAGTGTTTCATGAGTTCCCATTCTCTACTGACTTCATCCTTCCTCCTTTTCTCACTCAAACCCAGGCTGCTTCTAGTCTGGCCGCATCAGCAGGCTGGCTGGGGCAGGCTCGCAGGGCTCCCTTTCCAGCAGGGGCTTGGGGTGGGTGCTCCAGGGAGGGCCCTTCGCTGCTCCCATGGGCTGGCGCGATTTCTCACCAACAGGAACCTCTTGTCGACAGCCTTGTTCTTTCTCCTCTTCTGCCAAAGTCTGTGCTGCTTTGTCGTATGTTATAGGCTGTTCTTCCACTGGAGAAAATGGATATGTATTACTGAAAGCCATTTGAGAAGCTTCACAATAACTAAGCTAAAAGAAAGCTAATGGCAGCTTTGAGAGAAGAAAGCTATGAAAGGAAGCACAGAATTGAGTTCAGAAAATTACAAAACCAATTGATGTCAAAAGAACAAAAAAAGAGGCAAAGTCAAGAACTTGCTTCAGATTTTAAGAAATTACTTGTCCTAGGCAAATTTCATGGTTTTCTGTTTTAATATACAAGAACAGGAAAATGCATGCCCGTGACAGGAAGACCGCCTGCCTGGCAAAATTAAAGCCCCTGCTCCAAAGTCAAAAGAATTATTTCTTTAACATGTGAGAAAAGACATCAGATTATTTACCAGTCTTGCTGTCTAAAACGGTTAAACCACTTTTGCTGAAATTTTCAGCTAGGAAAAAATGACACCTGTCATGAAAAATTTGTGTTCCAATAGCTGCATCTGATAAAACTATAAATGAAAACAGAGCCTCCTAATGGGAAACATCAGGCTTCCTTCACTGGACAATACAGTTCTACACATGTTCACAATATTAGTCCAACCAAGTAAATGTGAGGCGTATTTTCTACTGATGAATAAAGTGACTTCCCAACATGTGTCTAAGGATAGGATGGGTAATTTTGAAAATCTTGCAAGATGCCTGCCCATTCGAGTATCCTCAAACATTTGTCTTTGCATATTTCTAAATGACTGATACAAACTGGGTTCTATAGTAACTTCTGTAGTTAGGAGGTATATAGGGTAAAGAAGACAAATGGTTAAAGATATCAGTCTTTCTCCATCATCATTGCTCCATCACCATCTGGAGATTCAGTTGCCACTTATAAGGCAGCGTTTCCTAAAACTCAGAGTGGTCCAGCTAGTAACGTGTGGGCCATGGAAGCCCATTGCGTGCTTCTGTGCTGCCTGCTGCCTTTGTACCAGGGGTGGGAGGCACATCTCCTTCATTCATCTCATCTTTGTTTCAGCACCAAACACTCCCCAAGCAGCCAAACACCTTGTTTAACACAAAAGGCAGAACTGCAGTTGCTGCCACAGGGCAAAAGGTTTCTGGGGAGACCTGGGCTTCTCACACCATGACAGTTATCCTGCCTGAAAGAATAAGGACTGTCAAAGTATATCTTTCCATGGATATACATTTCCCATCAGTATGAGGGGTATAACTCACTTGCTATGAAGCAAACCTGTGAAGTTCTATATGAATTGAAAAATATGATATTATTACTACCTTGAGAAGCATCTGGCTTATGAGTGTGAAAGCACTGTTGTAGTGTAATTTCTCATGAATAACCTGCAAAGTGAAGGACTGAATGGTCTCTTCACAGCAACACAAACATGGCTTCTGCTGTGCACAGCAGCTATAAACAGGCCAGAAATATAATTTTGATTTCTCTGTCTCCTCTATCAGCTGCTGCTCTTGCTGGTAGAAAGGTGAGGAGAGATCTAATAAGGAAGGAAATCCTACTCACCATATTCTGAAGGACAGGCAGGATAAGGATCTGTTGTCTCACACTCAATTAGATCAACCGCTTTAGTCTCCAGAGAACTGTTACACTCCTTAACAACCGCAAACTGCAAATACATACAATATGCGCACAAAATATACAGAGACAAAATTAATATAAAATGAACCGTTTTTCTGAAACCCAAGAGGCAAACTAGAAGGGCCACACGCTCCAACCACAGCAGGAGGAAAAAGGTCATCCTGGCTTCTGGGATGACCCTTCCCCTGCAGATAATTAAACATTTGAGTTGATGACAGCCCCGGTCTTTCTTTGGAAAGTGTGCAGTCCCAGCCTAGTAAAGAACGACCCATTCTCTTGCCTTGCAAATCAACCTTTCCAGATGCGAGAACAAAAGTACATGAAAATCAACTCTCCATAGTACTGAGGGCCACTTTTAAAGTATTAGAGAGACCCACAACCAGACAGCAGGAAACTCTGTCAGACACAGGGAAGGAAGCGAGCCTCCCTTTCTGGCTCTCAGCACCACCTGGGGTGTGCGATTCCATCGTCTCATGGTGACAGTGGAAGTGACACCTCGGAAGCAGAAGACGGGACCCTCTGGGGGAACATGCTGAAAAGGCCAGGGGGAAAACAGAAAAAACAGGGGTAGAGGAAAGCAATGTGAAGCACTGTGCTGAGGGAAACCTAGTAAAAGGGGGAACCCAGTAAAAGGGGGATGTTTAAAGAGCAGAGACAGGGAAGAAGAGAAAATGTCTCTAAGTAAGATGTTCCAACAGAAGGACTGAGAGGTTCAGTGGATTGGTGGATTTATATGGATAGATCATAGATGTAGCAGGTGTGACTATTTAGGCATCAGTTCATTTACATAAAATCTGTAGGCTTACAGCTGCTAACCCACATGTGACAGACCCCCAGAGGAGATTCAGCTACAGAGTTCTGCAAAATATCTTTGACTGTGCCAAACAGAACACTTGCTGGATGAAAAGTCTCAGGACAGCATCAAAATCCAGATATGTGCAGAAGTTTACTAAGGCTTACATATCCCTAGGACAAACCTAGCCTGGCTTATGCAACTCTAATACGAATGTGAAAAAGTTCCCAGGCGTACCCTCAGCTAAATGTAGCCTCACCTGGCAGAATAGAAGTAAAGGGAAGAGTGAATGGCACTTGGACAATTTATAGGTATAGTTTCAGTACCACGATACCTAGCATTTGATATGTGTGATAGCACAAAAGCTTGTTATCCTCTACATTAACCTAGATGGGCAAGAACAAGAAAGTCTTTGCACTGCCTCTCCCCAGCCTCACAAATGAGCAGTAGCACTGTGGGCTACAAAAGGAGTGAATTTCATGAGCTCTTTACAGTTACTGCATACACATCATCCAGTCCCCATAAGAAGTCCTTCATTAGGATTATTAATGCTGTGTAAATCAATAGCACCCAAAAACCTACTCCATTACCTGAAGAGTTGAGGAGCCATAGAGTTTTCTGTCCCCAATGTAGTATAATGTCTTTTTTTACATAAAGCTCCCCAATAATCCGGTTCAAGTGAACAGTAGAAATGGACAGCTTCCTGCTGCTTTTTGGCAACTCTGCAGTTTCTAACCTGAGTGCATGCATGCATGAAGCCCCAGTGAACTTAACACTCAATGGCTGCATCAGCACAGAGAAAATCATATGCATGAAACCACAGGAATCCATTACTCTGTAAGCAGCAATAATTAGCAAAGGGTCAGTGATTTCCTCTTCCAGCCTGGAACAAGCCATCTGCAATAAATTACTTTATTAATGCATTTGATGTCTCCCAGTGCAAGAATGCATGGTGAAATTTAACATGAGTGTGTAATAGATGAGTAGGTTGGATTTGTTTTTGTTGATTCAGTCCATTGCTTAGCTGTCTAATTACTCCTATATTCAGCAAAAATGTCATTGACCACTAGCATTAACTACAGGGACAACAGCAGCTGGAGACAGAGCTGATGAGCTGCAGGCCTCCTAGAGTGACGCTCCCAGGCAACGAGCTGTTCTCAGTCCTAACAAATGTTTCTGATTTTCCCAGCCTCAGATATTTTGCAAGCTGTGGGTTTTGTCTCTGCTGTGAACAAATAATGACATTGCCACGATTCAGCACGTTTGCTGTCCAGTACCTGGAGGAACAAAGTGCTGGTAACAAAAGGTCCACAAGAGTATGCAGTTGACCAGCTAAGGAATAATATGTTGTAAGCAGGGTCAAGCCAATTCAGTACTCCCAACATATGTTTGATAGTGTGTTTCAGTTGCTACCCGCTCACAAATCCTGCCAGACACTCAATCTAAACCATTTGCGAGGCCTTCTTTGGGTTGATTAAAAATCCTTGAATTTGCACTATAAATATTCCATGATACTCAACCCCTCAAACAGACTCCCAAACAGAACAAACTCATCTCTTTCTGGACTCAAAGATTTGGAGCAGAGTCAAACTTCAGGCCATTTAAAGTCAAATTCTTTTGTGACCATGACTACTACGTACACAGTTCTTGTACCTTTCCAGCTATAGCTGGGTGTGGAAGGCTTTAAAACCTTGCAGTAATACCTATACTAGAAGAACATGTGTGCAGTTACCCGAGTAAAAAGCCATGTGCTTCACTAGAGCTTGTCGCCAATCCCGTACAAGTATAAACTCTTCCAGTAGTCTTTTCCACTGTGTGCTGCTTAGCTAATGTGATGCCACCTGGACAAGTATGGCGATACCTGCACTACAGCAGCTTATTCAGAGCTGAATGATATGTGTGTGCAGACAAGCTCTCAGGGTAAGTCATGCCATTCTGAGAAAGGAGTCTCCGACTGGGCACAGAAGTAGCCACAGATGCCAGTTATGTCACTTTTGCCAACTTCAAGTTTCAACTGCTATCACCCAGCAGTGTAATGTCATTTTAATGCCAGGGAGAATCAGGTCCTTAGATCAGACCTTATGGGGCCAAATTCTCTGATGCAACTTCAAAAACGACAACAGAAGCAGGCCAGTACAACCAGACCATGATGGCATTTCTACCTACACCACTGCAAAATCTGTATTTTATATTCAGTCCCAAACTACCCAATAACATCCTGGTTGTTTTTCTTTACAAGGCAGCAGCCTCTAATACAAAGACATTTAATTTCATCAACCCCCAAAACAAAGTTCAACATCTCATGTAGCACACACAGTACTTGGCTTCCAAGAAGCCTTTTTTACGGAGGGCATACTTCCCTGTGAAAATAACTCTGTGATATGCCATGTCATCACATTGCCATTTCCTTAATTTAGAACACAGTTCCCCAACTGTTGCGTTCAAAGCTAACAATAACACTGGCTAATGGTTGCAATACATCCAGGCAGCTGTGAACTTTGAGGGATAACAATGAGGTAAGATGAACTAGGGTTCACAGAAAAGCACTTGATGACTCTAGCAGTTATTTAATATATTTAAGATGTGAATTATTTGATGGATAATCTCAAGTGGATCCCTAACACTCTTTGATCCTTCCTGCTTCCCTCTCCACTCCACATTAATATAGTTACCCGGGACTTGTTGCTAGTAGGTGTCACGTTCTCATTGTCAGCGCGGCTGCTGGCATCTCTTATCGCTTCTGCATAGAAATTCTTCTTATACGAGTTTTGACTTCTGCAACAGAACAAAAGCTGAAACAGATTATTTTGCTTTGGGAGGAACAGACGCTGCTTCCTCTCACACATTATTCTATAGGTATTTATAGAAGGGACATATATTTTGTTTTCTTTCATTGGTTTGAAAGGTGTATTACTGTCAATTACCACCCAGTGGTTAAAAAAACCAGCTTGTTAGAAACAGAAGTCAGTAAGAAGTGAACAAATGTTTGTTCTAATGCGCCATCTGCAAAGGGTCATTCATTAGAAAAAACAACAGGCCTCATAATTTTAACTACCCCCTTCCATTTTCTTATATTATTCTATATATAACACATTCCTCTTATAAAGATTTAGGTTTCAGCCAATACAATGAAGAGTGTTTGTGGGTAAAGCTCAGAAGTAAAAATCTGACTGTGTTTTTGTACACCATTGATAGTTACAATTATGAAAGTTGCTTCTGCATTCATCTGCATCATTTATGAAAAACAACAATTTCAGAAATTACTATGAAATAAACAATCCGGAAGCCTCAAAAACTTGGGACTAAGACATTTCCAGGAAAAAGCTAACAGAATTAGCTCAAGCGGAAAAAAAGCCAGGAGTACAACCTGGAGTTGGAAAAGGATATGAATATGATATGAAACTAAGCGGCTAGTTCCATAAATTAAAAAATTGTTATTTTTGGAGTTAAACAACAATCACTTATAAGGCAGTATTAAAAGCTCATATAGGCCCCGACATAGAAAACACGGTCATAAGAAAAAGAGCTCATTTACACTGCTTGAGATTCAAATCAGTACATCTTTACTGACTTTACATACACGTTTTTTCTCCTCCTAGACATCAGCTAACAAAATTAATGTTACACTCCTCAAATTCTGGAAGTCTCAAGTTATAACACCCTTTTACTTGATCTATTTTAAATAAAATTTAGCAGCATGTACCAAAGAAAATAGGAATTTTCCTTTTATTTCTACATCACATTCATATACTAACTGGGAAAGTGCATCTGCCATAATTATCTTATGTTGCTCCCCTCATGAAAATACAATGTAAATAAAACATTGCTTGTTGCTAGAAATGAGAAAGACCTGTCTCCACCATGGATTTTCTCCCCAGATTTTCTATAACATGTTCCTGTATATTCAAACATTAAAAAAAAAAAAAAAGTAAGTGTCTCCAGAAGAGAATAAGACAGGGACTGCTAATACGAAATCAAATAGGTGTCAGACCTGAGGGTATATCCACAGAGCAGAATGTTGAGAAATAGGGTAAATTAGTCCATTTTGACTTTTCCTGACACTGGGGCAAGGCTGCTGTTCATGTTTTGTCACCTAGATGTGCTCGTTCCACATTGCAGCTCACAGTGCTGACAAAACTTGAGCCCATTACTCAAGAGTTATAAAATCCATTGCACAGAGCTCGCACCCAGGCACGGATGCCCCGCTCAAGGAGATCACTAATTCTACATCTTACTTTACAGCATGCAGAGTAACAGATGCCAGGTGGACTTGGTAGGCACAGGAGTCTTCATGTGCAACTGAGCCCAAGTAGGACTCAGTGAAATCTAGTTGACCGAGCGTGGGCAAGAGGCCAAGAATTTCTCAGTCCTAATCCCAGTCCTACTGCTGATTTTTGCACAGCCTTGGCCAACAGAGGTGGAGGGATTGTGGGTGTTAAATCTGTGACTCAGATTTTTTTTTGTTGGAAGAGAGCTGTTTCCTTGCTTCCCCAGGAAGATAGGAAACTTGGCATACTATACAGTCACACTACATCAACCTAACATTAAGAATAACACAATGCTCTTCAGCAGACTACAGTCATTGAACAAACCAACACAGTACTTTGGTGTTCTTGGCCTCCAGTTCACATATTTTTCAGGTGTAGATCTCCAACTTCATTTCCTCCAATTAAAAGGAGATAGGTGTCTCTATTTCACAGGGGAAGGAACAGGACTATTACAGACTTAATTGGTACATTTCAAAATACAGTAATTTATGTGAAAAAGCAATAATGCAATTTCAACCCAAATACCGGTTTCCAGACTCCAGTTAAAATAGGGATTTTAGGTCAGTGGTTTCATTTTGATCTAGTTAGGCTAGTAACAGCTGCAGTACAAATTCAGTCAAGTATGTAATTGAAAACTTGTTGTCGAGGTAAATAGTTATATTGATCAAAAGCAGTGGCAAGAAAGAAAGGTAAATCAGGGAGAAATGACAAAAGAGACAGGAAGGGGAGAGAATTAATATCTTCATACCTTAAAACCAGCCATATTCTGGCTACTTTTAATGACAGTTTATATGACATATATAGGAAATATAAGAATCTCACAATTTGTCTATTCTGTATGTATCATTCCACTGACTAGCTTCTGAATCCCAGGTCATGAGAACAAATCAGGCTGCACTTAGCTTTAATTTTGGATCTCTACCATTAGTTAATAGAAAATCATAAACGTGGCAGCTTCTCTACTTTTATGGGCTAAATATGCTAGGAACCATTAAATAAAAATGGAAAATATTAGCTTCCATAGTAAAATCTTTTGTACTTTAACTTTTTATGCCTAGGAGAGTCTAATTTTAAAATTAACCTAAACCACAAACAAAATGCCTGCACACGGAGGGCAGGTCGCATGCAGCAGGAGACTCGATTTGGCTACTGTCTGGCTTCTTGTTTGTTTACTTTTAAATATAAATATGCATTTAAACAAGAGCCTCTGAGAACAGTTATCTGCCAAGGTCATGGCCAAAAGACTCTAACTTATTAAATGCTGAATACTTTCCAGTCCAAGGGACATCGATGACATTTAATTTCACATCAGCCTGGGTTCTTAAATAGTGACTGTAGGGATCCTTCCTGCCATGAGAATCCCAAACCTGCACAATTCATTACAGCCATGGAAAATGCCAGGGAGTATTTTTACAACAGATGTGCTTTAGGCTCACATCCCTGGTTTTACTCTTTCTTTTGCCAGGAAAACTGCTTTCATGTTCATTGCTGGAGGCATCACTGTGGAAGTTTGCTATTGCAAGGCTGCTTTTCTCAATGGTGAGGAAACTTTCAGGTGCCACTCTACACTGAAAGGGAAGCAAAACCAAACTAATGGGATAGCTAGCAGAGAGGAGCCAAACCCTACCATGACAGTTTCAGACATCCAGAGCTCTTAAGGAAAACCAAGGAAGAAGTAAATAGCATGCTCCTGAACTTTCCCATCAACAAAAATTATGGCTACTCTTCAAACCTAATAAAATCTATTCTTCTTCCCCCCAGACACATGTCACTCACTAACACCAACGCAAGTACTGCAGGCAAGGACATGCCAGAACTTTCTGAATTATTCATAGATCCAATTACTGAAAAGCAAAGAGTAGCAAGGATGATACGGCGATTCCCTGAGGAACCAGCTAAGGAACAGCTCACGTTCTTCTCCACGAGCCCACTGTGAAAGTCAGAGCAGCGTTCACAGCGCGTGTTTGGAAGCACTACCTGTGGCAGTAGGCGGCCAGGGACCCCAGCAGGAGCAGGAGGACCAGCACTGCTACGCACACTGCAATGGTGATGTTCCGCATCTTCACCCGCTCTGCGTGCTGCTGCTCCCACCACTCCAGATCGCTGAACTGGCACCGCTCCCCCACATAGCCCGTCACACAGCTGCCAAAAGGAAGTGAGCACACTTTGTAACTGGCAGCAGAGGAAAAACCCCAGATCATCACTTCAGTCACCTTGTTTATTGATTTACCATTGGCAACCGCTACGGAAATATCTGGTTGAATTTAGTAGTGGTAAAGACAAAATTACTTTAAAGGAATGGCTGTCAAATGGCTGTAGAATTCAATACTAAAAGACTTCTTTTTACTATAAAGCTATAGAATTATACAGCAAGATTATAATTTCCAGATTCTAATGGGTAAAGAATAGAAAAAATAATTTTCTCTAAAATCCTGCTGCATGATTAGTGTTTCCCTAAGATTTTCCATTTAACTGTTTCCAGCAGCAAGCTTCTCTTTCTTTGAAATAGGCAATATAGGACTTACTTGTATTTTCAGAGTGATTTGGTTAAGGGAATCAAATTTTAGTCTGAATCCTTACTTTAAAATAAAAGACAAATGAAAGTGTTAAAAAAACCTCTTATGGGTTAAAAATATCTTCATAATTTAGTTTTAATACAAGCTTCTTCTGTAGGCAGTTTTTGTTTATTTGTTTTTACCACTGTAAAACCCGACATGGAAATATCTTATCAGTGCATGAAACCCTCAAATCAAAATTACTAGAAAGAGAAAAACACATCAAAAAGAATCTCAGCCTAGTTCTACTGTCCAAGGTGAGAGACATAAAAAAGGAGATAATAAACATAAAAAATGAAAAGTCTACTCAATTCATAATAATCTCTCAGCAACATAGGCTCAAATCCTTCTCACAATTCTCATCGGTCTAGTTTTACTCAAGTCAAAAGAGCTAGTCAAATGAGCAAAAGAAGCAGGATTTGACCTGCAGCAGCTTTTACCTAATGTCCTGAAAACGTTATATCAGCATTCATTATTAAATCAGGCACAAGCACTCTCATTCTGTCACAAATTAGAATGCATATATGTTGGAAGGCAGAAGAATGCTAATTTTTTTAATGTAAAATCACAATAAATTCCAAACAAGCTAGAAGATCTACTTTCTAGTGTAAGAGCCTTTATTAATAAAAATACAAATTGCATTTGGTATGTGATTTTTGCTAGATATTTTTGCTAGATAACATTTTTCCATGATGTTGTTTTGGTGTTTAATATATTACGGCCTACATGAATGAATGCTGCCATCTAGTGAGAATTCAGCAATGTGAGAATTCAGCAAGGTCCACAACAAGCCTTGGCCCCCAAGAACACAGCTGAGCACGGTTGCTCCTTAATTTTTTAAACGGCTTCCACTTCCAGCACTGAAGAATATGTACATTTGGATTCTTATTATGCACTAACACCTAACAAATAAAAGAAAAAAAAATGTGATCCAATTTGAAAGTTCTGCAGTTGTAGACTCTTCACTTTCAACAGGAGAAACTCAATGAGGTGAAAAAAGATAGTTTTCAATGCCTCTAAAATTTACACTAAAAATCCATAACAAATACCAGAGATGACCATGAGTCCATCTCCTGTAATGGCTTTGCCCAAGGGCTATGCTGAGCTTAGGAAATCCATGGCACAAAGCGTCCACTTCATTCCCATGTATGAACACAAGATACATTCTTTTCATATTCCTGCAGGTACAGAAGTCTGTAGGCAGGGGAGACCACTCGTATTTAAAAATAAGCAAGCCTAGGATTTGACAGTGCTTGCAGGAATGGCCTGGTACAGAGGTTCCTGCGGTGCAGTACAAGGAAGATCTGGGGGAATGGTAGGTCAAAGAAACCCTTCAGCACAAAGCTTGCTCTCCTCACTCCAGGGTTATACCAGGGCCACCCGAGTTACTGAGGCACAGAGGGAGATTTGCCTACTACGGAACAGGATCCATCCCCTGCCCAGGTCCTCACCTACCAGGTGAGACCCAGGAGGATGCAGGCATTGGATTTGTCCCACTGTAAACACTTTTATGCTTGATTTTGAAAAAGATATAACACAGATTCAAATATAATCAAATTACAGAATTAAACTCCAGCACTAATGGTTTTGAAGAAATAATTACCCCATGGGACTAGGCTGTCACATTGACCAGGCCAAGGCTGACTTCTGGAAATAGAGATTCCTTTTGCTTTTATCAGTAACTGCATTCCTGGGGAACCGGGAATTAGGCTTCACAAAAACGTTGACAGGAGGAAGGAAGTCTTGTTTTTGAGGCCTCGTTGCTACTCTCCCTATTTTTAAGAGGACCATCATGTTGTACCCTTTCTGCCAGGGGCCAAGACTCTTCAAACTGTAAGGGAAGATGCTGACACCAGACTTCTCCTCCCTGGTCCCAATTAGAGAAAACAAGACCAAGGTGTCCTCTTCCATCCCAGTGAGTGCTACACATGAACAGCAAAGCCTACAGGGAGGTACAAGTCAGCACAATACGTACAGGAGAGACAGCAAGCACCTCTTTCATAAAGCCAGGAGCATCAAGTCATTTAACAACTTATCTCACATTTCCAAAGCAAAGAATCGCGTGCTTAGGGAACAAATCCAATCCTACTATTAATTGCAATGGGTGTGAATGGAGTGACCACTTATAGAAACTTACAGTGATCACTTACACAAAAGAGCAGAGTCTAATGATAATTGCTAGCATGAGTGATGAACAGATAATTTATGGACAAACACTTCACTGCCTGCACTCAACTGAGCCCTAAGGATACCATTCATCAGCACAGACAATACAAATTTCTGTACTTACTTGCAGGCATAGTCTTGTAGATCAGAAACATAATTGCACACTCCACCATGGAGGCAGTATGACTCATACGAAGGAGGGCATCCTGCAGAATCATCTTGCACGGGGTGTGTAGAGTATTCATTGCTGACAACACTGGGGGACACAGTAGGTTCTGAAACACAGGATTTCACGTGGACATCTCAAACTTTTGGCCACATTGGCAATGTGATCTTATGAAAGAGTTTCAGAACTTCAAGATAGGAAAGTAGGTAAAAATCTCTAATTTTGACCAATTACTTTTGTTTTACCTATTTGCTTATGTTGCCTATCAAATTTAGGCACACAGAACTTTAGATCAAAATACTAAATATGCTTGATTCTAGATTTGCAGTGAAAGACCCACAGAGGTTGGCTGTGTTCTGTCTATTTAGATGTGTGAATACAGCTCTGAAGAAAAACTGCACTGGCTGCCTCGTTACTTACGCTTAAATGATTTTTGCACTTATGCGGCTTTAGGGCATGGTAAATCTCCACAATGCATAAAGTGTGAATACAGCTCTGAAGAAAAACTGCACTGGCTGCCTCGTTACTTACGCTTAAATGATTTTTGCAACTTATGCAGCTTTAGGGCATGGTAAATCTCCACCATGCATAAAGTAGCAGAGTCAGATGTACAGGTGAAGGGTGACTGTATTTCACGCACTTGGATCTCAGACTGAGAAGTTTTCACATGCAACTTGTCGTTCTTATGCAGATTATTTCTACTCTGCTGCCATCTGGTTGATTGCATCTGTGTGTGACTGCAGATCACATTTTTTATTGTTTCAAGATATCTCAGGTACAGATAACAGCATCACTGGGGAACCAGGGAACTCTATTGACCCAATTCTTCAAAGGGTTCTGTAGCCTGCTCTGAATCGCACACAGTCACCTACATAGATATCCAAACTAGCTAGTTTTAAAGGTAGCTCTAATATCTCTGCACAGCACGACCTACAGTGCAGATATGCCCTTACAGAAAAGGAGTGCTTTCTTGCCTACTTCGATGCTACAGCACGTCTGTGGGTCACAACCAAACATCTACATGGCAAAGAATTTCTAGCAGTAGGGCTTAGCACAAATGCGCCTAATCGCTCTCATACATTTATGGGATCAATTTTATGACTCACACCAGTTTTATTGCAACATGACCTTCAATGACATTTGTTTTTTAAAATTTCATTTGCAGGAGAACTGCCATGGCAAAGAGCCTGAATGGAAAGGGATGAGTGATTTTAGTGAACCCCAGGTGTGACTGTATTCTGCAAAGAAAATTTCAGCTTGCTAAAAGAGCTTATTAGGCAAAGAACTAAAACTGTGTTAACACACATGAAGACATGGGATCCGATTTACAGCTGAGGGACCTAGAAGGCATTAATTCCAAGTCATGCATCATTTAAAATCATAATTTCCTAAGTGACATCTGAAACTACTGAAAGCTCAAGTAACTGAAAAGGGGGTAGGGATTCTGATAGGCGTTCTACTTTAAAAAGCCATAATTTCCTTCTGTTTTTCTGCAGAAATAGATCTGTGACAATCACACAGTGTCCTTCCACCATCAGACAGTCACTTGATCTGGAGTAAAATTCACCCCGATGAAGGGGGCTGACACAGAGTAAGACGATGAGTCACTCAGCCCCACATTTTCAGAGAATGCTGCTGTCACATTGAGGCACTGAAATGAGGGTCGGATAGTGACTAGTGCCGAACCTTCAGCAGCTCCCTTCATTAAATTGGTAACCAGATTTTCTGAAGAGTTTCATAGCCCTTTTGAAAAATTAGCCACTGGATCTGAAGACTAGCTTATTCTGAAGAATTAAATGGGACTTAAATTATGTGCAATTCTTGTGCTAGCCTTCTGCAGAGGGAAAGAAGGCACAGAGAGTTTGAAAAAGAATGAAATCACCTCCGAAAATGTTACCTCCAAGGAGCATTTACTGGTGCTGTTGATTGTAAAAGCCATTAGATAGATGTGTCATTAAATTTAGGCAGTAAAAATTAGCATTGAACCTTAATATTTCCAAACTAAACTCAGATCTGGTCTCCTTGGCCCACCTCAAAATGGCCTCCTAAAGCAATGCTAAACAGATCCACAAGCTGCCCAGTATGTCACTATACAGGGCTTCCTTAATTTCCAGGTATAACAATTTATCCAAGAGCACAGTTCTTCATTAAGGACCATTTCATTTTAATTGCTCACTCCATTTACTCACTGCAACCAAAGCCAGTTCCAGAAGCATCATCAGCACAAGAGCAAGTGAAGTTTCCTTCTGTATTTGTGCAGGTTATGTTCTCTCCACAGGTGTGGGACCCCGTCTTGCACTCATCAATATCTGTCACCCAAACAGTCTGCAGTTAGAAGAACGAAATGCCTCAGAGCATCGGTTAAAAGGGCAGCAGTTGCAGCATTGCAGTCTCCTGGCAGTGAGGAAGAACACCAAAGACCTTCCCTCTGCAAATATGCCTTCATGGAAAACGCAACGGAAAAGCAACCAGCATACTTTCTATGCCAAGTAATCACAGCCTCCCCAGCCTCTCAGAGCACACTTTGCTGCTGCAGAAGCTCTCCACAGGGAGCAGGAAGGAAAGGCTTCCCCAGGAAACATAATGAGTACAGTAGAATTGAAGAGAAGATTTACTTGTACCAGATATATTCTCCTGGCATTGCTAGTCCTAGCTTGTGCCCTGGATGAGTACTAGAGTACTGTCAGTTGGCATTCTTGCATTAGGACAGCAAAAGGGTTTGGGAGTGGGGAGTTGCCCACCCGCCTGGTCAAGCCTAAACAAAAAGTTTAGACAGAAGGAAAGGGTCTAGAAACCTGCAGGTTTATCCGGTTGTGTAAACACTTAAATGACTATGAAGAAGCTCCCTGATTACAACAAGAGTTTCCAGGCTCAGAGCCTGCGTCAGGCTCATATGTACCTCTCACCCACGTCCTGCTGCGCACCCTCACCCTGCCTCCACACCTTCTCTAGCACAGCCCAGGGTGGCAGCTCCTGCCAGTCTGGCACTCACCCCCCCGGGCTGGCACCTGCACGGTGCTAAGTGCCTGAGCACCCCCCGCCCCCAAAAGGTAGGAACTTTGAAAGGGTTCACACACCAGAGTTTAGGAACCTCTGATTTATTTTGTGAACTGTCAGCAGAATACATGTGCCAGATTTACTTTGGGGAAACAAAATCACAGATCTACCATCCCAATTTGTGTGAAATTATTCCTTAAACCACTAGGACTTTTTCTACAGTAAAATTAACAGGATCTGGTCCGAAACAGTATAGAAAATTCAGAGCCTTTTTAAAAGCAAAAATACAGGAACAAAACTGTTGCAGCTTATTCCAAGAAATGTGATTTCAACAACACAACATGAACTCATCTTGTACCATCTCTGGATGGACTGACACATTTCTGGACACTGTGCATGCATGCAGGCATCTAAAACTGAAGTGCAAAATCACTTACTTACCAGTTTCTGGTTTTTATAGTACATTTCAAGTCATCAAACACAAAATTAGTTTCAATTCTGTTTACATCATAACAACATCGCATCATTTATAAAATGCTGTGAAAACATATCTTACCGTCTTCTGGACTTAAAGACTTCAGGAAGATAATGGACTGTTTTTCAATAATAGGGGTAGGTACCACAACCATTCTAGCTGAGCAACTGTATCACAGACAGTGAGAGCCCAGGGCTGTCTGGGGACATGCCTTGTAGGTGGTGCTGGGACAGCAAGAGGAGCTTGTCACTTCTGTCTGTGCTTCTGAACATCCTCAAAGACATGAGCTCTGGATCTCTGAGCACTGTAGGCAGAACACCTTCTCAAACCTCCTGCCTCTGACACTTTCCACATCCTGCCCATAATAATGATATTGTTCTTAATTTTTCAGTCATACTTATCTGTGTCAGAGAACCAAAGTCCAGTAAAGACTATGTAAGAATTGGGTCAAATTTAATGGGCTTTGAATTAGGCTATAAAGGAGAAAGGAAAAAGAAAAGGACAAAAGAGAAGCTTTTGTTCATAAAGCTCTGAACAAACTGTGTGCTAGTCAAATACTGGGGGGAAAAAGCTTCCTCTTCCTTCATATTTACTGCTAAATGGATTAAAAAATTAAGAAATGTAGGGAATGAACTAAAGACCTCACATTAGAGCTGGATGAGAAAGTCAGTGGGTCTGATTATTAACAAGACTCTAAATGTACTCAAGTTGTCAGTGTCAACATCTTGAACCTCATGCCTATTAAACAGACCTGGAATTATTTGATGAGTATTATGACACACTCAATACCTGCTTTCGTTTATATTCATGGCAACGATTTCCAATAAAGCTCTACTGCTTCACCTCCACTTCCCTCCTCCCCTTCACTCTTCCTCTCCCTCCTGCTGTAGCTACTAAAAAGAGTGCAAACACTGAAAGGAGGTATCCACTGACAACTACAGCCTTTGCATATTGATCAGTTGCTGAGGTTGCCACACTTCAAACAGGAAAGAAAGAATCAAAGAGGAAGAAATGATAAATGTCCACTGCTGGTGGAGCCACTCTTAGGATCCATGCCCCTACCAGCTTTTTCAAAAAGAACCGAACAGCTCATCTGACAGCTTCACAGCTTGATGCAAGGCTAGCCCAAATCATCAGACATGTCTCTTGCTCATTCATCCTGCCCCAGCCTTCCAGACACATGCCCATACCGTAGCAATGGACTCCATCTCCAGTGTAGCCCTCCAGGCATTTACAGACGTAGCCCCCTTCCGTATTGATACAGGCCGACACGTTTCGATTACATCGGTCCATATTTACAGCACACTCATCAACATCTGTGAGACAGAACAATGAGACAGGATACATGGGTCATGAAACCATCAGGTAAATCGATAAAAAGAAATGTCTACATCATGAATCTCCCTCAGACTATGCTGTCACGTGTCATTTGTGCATCTGAAGCAAATGGGAAGAGAAGAGCTTTGTGGTCTTTTCTTGGTAGGAAATTTGATGGGGATGTTCTAAAAAGCCTGAGACAGTCAACCGGCTACTTTCAACTGGAGACCTAGAGGTTCCACAAATACCATTTGCTTCCAAAAAAATCTCATTTGGAGGGAACGAACCTATTCAAAACTAGCCTTGTTTTCTTAAACCCTACTCAGAGAGAAACTTTGTTTTGAGAAAGAACACATAAGCTTAAAAAAAAAGGTACCACCAATTTTTTTTTTTTCCTTTCCATAGCAACATAGACTTCTATGAGTCTTCATGCTTAGCCACCAAATGGCAAATTGTTCTGTTTCTAATGCCTTTCTGTCTTGGCTTTTATGAGAGAACAAAGTGCTTCTATTTATGTTGTATGCAAGTCCAAAAACTTAAAGACCGCTCTGAGCAATGTGTTGTGTGATTGTTAGAGTCTCTTTCTAGGGCTAGAAAGAAACAAGAACAGCACTTTTATATAAGCATTACATCAGGAATACTAATTTTTAAGAGATTCCTTAATACATACTTCTAGATTATACATCAACTATCATGTCTATGGACAGAGCTTTTATAATTAGGAAATTTTTACAAATAAATACATTATTCCTATTATCCCCGTTATTGCTTGTTAATATTAATAGGATTAACACTCATGACTCAGGGGAAAATAAGGCATCTGATAATTAGCCAGTTCATCTCACATGCTCTCTGCTCATCATCCCTTTCAAAACATGCAATACCATTGACCTTTCTGTGATGGCTCATGCAGCAGAGCTGCCAGTATGAGAAAAGATAGATTTTCTTCCTCTCCCCCAATCTACAGTTTTCCAGAAGGTGGTATAAATGTCTTTTATTACCATAGCATGATTTCCCCTTCCTGGTAAATCCTTTCAAACACTGGCACATAGCACCATCTTCCAGCAAAACACACTGTGCATTGACATCACATTCTAGTGCAGTGCAGTCATCTTGATCTATAGCATAAACAAAAACAAAAAACCACTAGATGCATTTGGACAGATCAAAGGAGGTACTGTATACTAAAAAAACCCACCAACTAACCAACAAAAAAACTAACAAGAAAACCAGAACATACAGTCAAAGTTTGAAACATAGCTCTCCAGGGTTAATGATGACAAGCCAATACAATCGTTAGGGCTGGAGTTGAAGTGTCATTTAGTATCAGGATTTCTGAATGTTGTACACAAAACCTATTGTACAATTTAATGATCTAGTGTCATTGAACATATGTAGAATTCAATGGTTTTACTGCAGTTTTGTTCAGAGGAACTTAATATATTTATAAAATGTAAGGGAGAGACTTTCACAAATGTTCCAAATTAAAAATGTTTGTTCTCTAGACCTGGATAATATTATCAAGTTTTGTTGACATAGCGAAGGAACATGGAACCATAGAATCATAGAATCATAGAATCATTAAGGTTGGAAAAGACCTCTAAGATCATCAAGTCCAACCATTAACCCAACACCACCATGCCCATATAGAATCATAGAATCATTAAGGTTGGAAAAGACCTCTAAGATCATCATGGAGACAAACAAAAAAAAAGCAGTCCTACCTGGCATAATTGCATAGACCCACCTTCTTGTAAGAGGGTTAAGAGCATGAATGCCACCAGTCTTGACATTGAGCCTTTCTTCCTTTAAGGCCTATGATTTCTTTCTGTTCTATAAACCTGTTCAGCCCCTCACAGTAAATAGAAGGAAGACAATCATCAGACTCTACCTGACACCATGATTTCAGCCTTCAACAAAATGCTGATTTTCTGCTTTTCCCCACTGTCCGTATCCTTGAATATCCCACTGCTTTGTGTGCTCCGGAGCAAGGTCTCTGGTGTTGGCTTCGGCACTGCCTCCTTGTGCACAGACACGCTTCCTGAAAAAGACAAGAAAAAAGCGACACTGACTATTTAAATCTACTGAACTAACTTTCTGATTTTCTATCACTTGTCTACTTTCCAATAATCATGGTGGTTTTCTTTTAAAATAAACATCAGTATCCTCCCAGACTAGCCTGTTTCTGGCCTCAAATTATTCCTAAAACCACTCACTCGTGGGTTTTCTCAAATACAAAAGACAAGGAATGCCACTCATTGCTCACAATACTTGTCAGCACTGCACACATCTCTGTTACAGCTAATATGCCAAGGGAAAAATTACAATGGTCAGACAACATATTATTGTCCCAGGACAACCCCCCAGTGTTTTCATTCTTCAGAGAAACCATCATTCATTATGTAGAGCAAGGTGAGTATTTTCCAATGCTATCTGTCATGATCCTCAAGGGTTAGGGGAGGATCTTTTTTGGAACTGGAGGATTGTACCTGCTGTTGTGTTAGAAGCATCCAGAGCACGACAGGTTTTTCCATCTTGAGTCTTCCCAAATCCTGGATGGCACATGCAATGGGCAACGCCAAAATTGTTTTCACAGATATGATCACAACCTCCATTCTCATAAAGGCAAGGATTTGCCCCTAATGCAGAAAAACAGTCAACTTAACAAGCTGCTTCTTCAGTCAACATCTCCTTTTAGCTGTGCAGAGTTGAAGCAGTTGGAAAAAGAATAAGGATGACAAAAACTAGAACATCCTCTTTTTTTTTAATTAAAAACAGATGCATAAAGTAAAGCATATATATTATCACCTAGCGTCTGGCAGCAAAGCAGATTAGCATACTCTCTACGTAATAAATGTATCACTTTTTTTTATTTATTTCCTTTATTATTTCTTCTTTACTATTTAGAGTCCTAAAATCCCCTGAAAGAACATTACAAGGGCATAGGGAACCTGTGATTACCTTCTCTCAATCCCGGTCTATTGAATTACTTTTTTCTGCTTACAGGGAGATTGTTCCCAAGAGAAAACCAAATTATTTGATCCAAAATTAATAAATCTTACAAAATCTTTCTCCATGTCATTTGTTATTATTTGTGTGTGCGAGGGGTGCTAATAAACTAGGATAAATAGGAATTAGAAGACTATGGCAGCCTCACGGCAATTGATCAGCATCTATTCTTGAGCATGATCATAAATATATAAAATCTGTTAGCATTCCTGGGACACATGCCCAGCTGATGCTTTCAATAAATGCCAGTCTGACTATGCAAGGCCTTTTAAAGAGCCTATTTCTGAGAAGATAATCCTCTCCCCAAGGGGTCATATCCCCAAGGACATCTATTCTACTGATATCAGTGAACAAGAGAAGGCTGGAAGGGAATGACTGCTTAATTTTTGCAGTATACCTGGTTTCGCCAAAGGATGAACTACAACCATTGATGAGGGTCTCAGCATGCTGCCTCGAAGACGTACCCTGTTTTGGCCGGTCTTCTTGTCCACCCTCATTAGTGATGGCCTAGCCCAGTCAGAAAACCAAAGGTGATCCTCAAACACCACTACATCAAAAGGGTGGCCTACAAAGAAATTAGATTTCTCATTTCCACATCTGTAGAACATACACAAGAAACCATGTAAACAAAAGCAGTATCTGCATACAGGTCTACTTTTTGTTTAATATCAATGACATAGACAGTGGGATCAAGTGCACCCTCAGCAAGTTTGCAGATGACACCAAGCTGAGTGGTGCAGTCGACACGCCTGAGGGATGGGATGCCATCCAGAGGGACCTGGACAAGCTTGAGAAGTGGGCCCACGTGAACCTCATGAGGTTCAACAAGGCCAAGTGCAAGGTCCTGCACCTGGGTTGGTGCAACCCCCTGGTATCATTACAGGCTGGGGGATGAAGGGATTGAGAGCAGCCCTGCTGAGAAGGTATTGGGGGTACTGATGAATGAAAAGCTGGATATGATCCGGCAATGTGCGCTTGCAGCTCAGAAGGCCAACCATACCCTGGGCTGCATCAAAAGAAGCGTGGCCAGCAGGTCGAGGGAGGGGATTCTGCCCCTTTGCTCTGCTCTGGTGAGACCCCACCTGGAGTACTGCGTCCAGCTCTGGAGTCCTCAGCACAGGAAAGACATGGACCTGTTGAAGCAGGTCCAGAGGACGGCCACAAAAATTATCAGGGGGATGGAATGCCTCTCTTATGAGGACAGGCTAAGAGAGCTGGGGTTGTTCAGCCTGGAGAAGGGAAGACTTTGGGGAGACCTTATTGCAGCCTTTCAATACTTAAAGAGGGCTTATAAGAAAGATCGGGACAGACTTTTTAGTAGGGCCTGTTGCGACAGGACAAGGGGTAATGGTTCTAAACTAAAAGAGGGTAGAATTAGACTAGATATAAGGAAGGAATTTTTTACCATGAGGGTGGTGAAACACTGGCACAGGTTGCCCAGAGAGGTGGTAGATGCCCCATCCCCGAAAACATTCAAGGTCAGGTTGGATGGGGCTCTGAGCAACCTGCTCTAGTCGAAGATGTCCCTGCCCACGGCAGGGGGGTTGGACTAGATGATGTTTAAAGGCCCCTTCCAACCCAAACTATTCTATGATTCTATGATTCTATTTCTACCACAGTGGTATAGCCATTTCTCCACTTTGATGTCTCATGGGGGGCAATAAGTGTCCACAAATGATGGACCATGGGCACATGTTACTTATGCTCTTAGCAGAGGAGGCTATGACAATTGCCTGGCTCAGTACAGCCTCTATGCTGCTGGTGACCTCCGACCAGATCAAGTTCACAAGATGTTTCTACCTCAGACATCATCATTTCTTGAAGCAGCATTGGGACCAGCCTTTCAGAAGTGGAATGCCTCCCTCCTCTGCCAGTAAGTGGCCCAGGACAGAGCTGCTGAGGTACATAGCTCCTTTTGCAGTCTTCATGTAACAGGGAGGAGAGAAGCTCATGGCATGTGTCATCCTGCATAAATGTACTGACACGGGGCAGCCTGGGAGCTACAGACACTATAGCCACTGACCCATGGTAGGACCCCAAAGCCGGTGTGTGGTCTCTGCAAGTGCCAAAAGTATACACAAGTGCGATACAGTGGTCCACATGTACATATAAACATGCACAGACATTCACCAGTCAATTCATCACAGTGCAAAATTCAAGAGGGGAATTAATTTTCCTCACTTCAGCCAACTAGCACCAACAGGCCGTGACTAGTTAGTCACTGTCTGTTAGCCAGCTAACTAACAGCAACAGCCAACGCAAACCACAGGATGCAATAGATCATCCAAGTAGCTTCCTCTCTTTTCACTGACTACATAGGAACCTAGACGCCAGCTTAGACCAGGCACCTAACACTTACATGACTAACAGAAGGTGAGAGAAATCCCACCCAGAGTTCAGAGTACAGCAATTTTTCCTTGGTAGCACAACATTATCTGCACTAGGAAAACTCAGATCCCTAGTTTGACTTCCAGAAAGAAGCTCAGCAATTCAGAATCCGAAGGACACTTTCATATATAAGGGCAGACATACTTATAGATATAAAGATCTTTGCAAAATGATTCTGACTCTTTTTAATATCTCTCTCATGATAGAAAATTTTATTAGTTCATATGGGACTATGCATTCTTTCTATACATTTAGAAGTCTCCTGCTTTCAAGATAGCCTTTGGGCAAGTTTTTTGCAATGGAAGGTGAGAATACTGTTCTTCCATGGATGTCCACCTGGTTTCAGAGTGGATGCTTCCTGGCTGAAGCAGGTTTGCTTTGTCCTGGTCCTTACTCACAGTCTGAATATGCACCTCACTTTGTACCACTGCCGTCTGAGCCCCTCTGAAAGGTATGTTTTGTAGGCACGTGATTTTATGATGAGTGTTTTTGGTTTTTGATGTAGACCTCAACTAGGTGATGTTTAATTTCAGTAATGAAATTGGGATCCCAAAAGGTATTAGTCTAAAAAGATAAAAAATAATGAAAAAAAAAACCCAAAGCCAAGCAAGCAAAACGACAGGTAAACTAGAACCTTGGAGGAGTATGTGTTGGTATATCTTAAATACACATCATAAATAAGCTGAAAAAAACCACTCCTACATAAGAAAAATTCTAAGGCACTGTTTAAGTGTTCTTAAGCTTTAAGTTGAAGAGCATATTGTTATTCTCTTAGCACGTCACTGCCTTCACTGAACCATGCTTAATCACTGGGCGTGGTTCTTAGTTTTTCTTTCCATGAAATCTGAGCAACTAGCCCAAGATCTAGATACTGTCCCCATCCAAACATTTACTCACAATTTTAGGATCTATAGCTTGCACTAGCAACGAACAGCACCGGGCTTTGACCAGCAATTCCTTAAACTTGAATACATTAAGGATTAAAAATGGAAGTGTAGCGTCATCAATGGAGATAGCAGGAACAGAAAAATGAATAATCACATGAACCCTTTCCACAACAGTGTAAACCCGACCCACTGCATAAACAAAAGTAATGGTTGTGTTGTTCACTGCCTTGTGCAAGTGCTTACAGGCTGTTTTAGTTACAGCTGAAAACAGTGTTAGCAGAAGAGCAGAAATAATTTTACCTGTTTTGCATGCAGCTATACTGAATGAATTCTCAGTACAGGGGCACTAGAGGGAGCTGCTGTAATAAAAATTCATGTTACAGCAGAAAGACTATGAAGAGGTGCCACCTTCCCGTCCTCCAGTGTACAGCTGTCCAAGAACAGAAGCTGAATTCTGGTCTCGCTAACAGCATTAGCAAAACATCAAGTTTCTCTGCTTCTCTAAATTCATACCGCTACAGGTCTGCACCTCACCGCTTTCACTTCTTTCCACACAGGTGTCGATGTCCTTTTCTCCCACCTCCAAACAGCCGTATCACTGCTCCAAGCCTATCTCCTTTCCCATACTCTGTGTTTCTCCAGCGCTTCTAGCTCTCCTTCTCTGTTTTCTCCCCATAAGACAGTCTCATTCCTTGTGGAGAAACAAAGTGAAACTTTCAACAGGCTTCAAGGTCCTCCTTTGCAGACCAGTTGCAAGGTGGAGCGTACAGCAGAATATGCGCAGCAAGGGAAAAGAGAGGAATGCTGGGAAGTCACTCTGCTCAGGGCTTTTGATGTCTTATGAACTGGAGAACACTGCTCCCTCCAAGACCTCACTCTGCTCACCTTCAAGCAAGTGGGAGGGCATCTGGCTTAGGAGATGAACATAAGCCTTCCCAGAGCACAGGCTAGAACAGCAGCTGCTTAACAGAGTAACCATAAAGTCTTAACCGATGGCAGTCATGGTATTGAGCCAAGAGTCCTCATTCTGCCCATGTTTTGTATCCACACCTACAAAATGGTGCCCAGAGAGATATCATGCAAAAAGGGAATTGTCCTCTCCAGAAACTAATTTGCCATGTATGAGATTCTTAAACACATGGTTTACTTTAGATGTGGTACAACATCAGTTCCTCATTGCTAATACTTCTGTTCTCTTGCTCCAGAACAACACAGTTACATGTCAAACAATAGAAATCTCAGCCATAACAACTACCAGCATATTGCATAAATCATTTTTCCATTCAGTGTCTATTGTGTATTTAGAATCATCCCAGTATTCAACACTGTGCAGATGCAGGTTCTTTGCTCAAGGACCTTAACGACCAAGATTAATTCTCTTCCAGCTTACGTCAATATAACTCACTGGTGTAATAAACACAGCAAACCCCGAACTACACCAAGCAGCCATGCATGGAATAAGCAAACCACATTTTTAACTTTTTCCTTCTTTTCATTTTTCTGTGAAGGCAGAGGAGTTCTCTGTACAATGCAAAGTGGCTGATTAGTAAAAGCAGAGAGTGTTAGAAAGGAGTTCTTTTGCTAAAATGAATAAATAAAAGTCAACTGGGTAACAGAATGAAGAACTAAGTGATGCCATTAACCTCAACACAGAGTTGCATGGGATATAGAGCACAGCCCCTGGCCAGTAATTCACATGCACATATGCAGATATACACGCACATTGACAAGCAGCAGTAGGTAATTATCAACCCCAAAGCCTCACCTACATCATTCTGTGCAAGAATTCGACGACCAGAACCATCCAGGTTTGCGCTCTCAACCACTGACTGCTTAGCATCACACCAGTACACCTTGTCAGCTAAGTAGTCGAGAGCTATTCCACTGGGCCACACCAGACCAGTGCTGGCTATAACCTGGCGATCGATGCCTTCTAATGAAGAGCTGTCAATCCGGGGATTGACCCCCATGTCAGTCCAGAATAATCTCCTTTAGAAAACAAAATGCATACAGGAAGTCAGTAAGTAAATGTTTGTCCTCCTCTCCATGGAGTTCTTTCAAAGCAGAAAGATCAGATCAGAGCAATAGAGGCCTGAGGCACATGAGAAAAAGTGCACACTTCAAGAAAATATATTGGCTGCTGATCTTTTCACACTTGCCATAAGACTCCAGGTGATTACACTGGGACTTATGCAGAATCCCCACTCTGTTCGTTGGCACAAAACCTTTGAAAAACAACTCCTCCTGCCTATGCTAACTGCCAACTCTTCATATCTGCTTTTTGTGTTTTCCACATGATTGATGATAGCAGTTTAGCGAGCCCAGACAACAGAAGACGATGCATTTGCCAGCCCCTTGTCTAAACAAGGGTATAATAATGCACAAATGGAACCAAAATTACCCACCACCCATGGAAAGCAAGCAAGAGTCCTCAGGTTATTTTGTTTTAAAAAATAAACCTGTATCAGGCCCACCCTCTTTTCTTCTTTTAATAAAATCATGATTCTCAGGGTCTCTCTCTAGAGTCCTGAGTGTTACTCACCGAGTGCTTACTGTTTTTCAAAAAACAGACAGTGCAAGATGGCCACTTAAAATGGAGCTAGCCAAACCCAAAAATTACTTCTGAAGTTTGGACTCCACTCTTCCCAGGCATCAGCTGCCTTTGTCAGGTTTACTGAGATAACTCACTTAGCTTATTTACATGAGCAGTTTTGCTGTATCCAATGCAGGCATCAGTATTCTCAGTAGTCTTAATTGTGTCTCAGATCTCTCTTTAATACTGACTTTACAATGATGGACATTGCTATAATGTCTGTTCCTCCTTTTACCATTAACTTTCTAATAAGGAAGGTTTTAGTGATGTTTCCTCCTCCCTTTCCCCTTGTAGTGCTTGCCTCTACCAATAATTCTAATAAAAAGTCTCCCTGAACCTGCCTGTTCTTAAAAGTTTTCCTGCAAAATGTCTCTATCATGTTCAACCTCTACTGAAAGATTCTTTCAGGTCTTTTATGTACAGAGTGAAGCTAACAAAACACCCTCCCCAGCTCAGCTTCATTCATCAGTACTTAGTTACAGCACGATATGAGCATCAAAAAAAAAAAAACACCAAAACCCAAACAAATTTAAAACCATCCTACTACAGGCATATTGACTGAAATCCATGGGGCTTTGCCATTGATTAAAATGGCCAGAATTTCATCAATAGTTTAAACATTCAAAACCCCTTCGATCATCTTAGCACTAGGTAAGAAGATAAAAGGTGCATTTAAATCAAGGCATCTCCACAACAGTAATTTGGTTTAATTTCCTCGGAAACTGAAACATGGCCAAAAAAAATCCTTTGTAAGCACCACTGGTTAAAAGTGACTATCTTTTCCACACTAATAGATATGGAACCATCAAAGTTTGTAGTGTGGTGCTTACAACTGTCAGGGTGACTTCAGTCGCTTGTGCTTTTCTTTAGCTTAAACTGCATACAATACCTTTTAATGCTTATGATTCTTTTTTAAATCTCTATGAGAAATGAACACGTCCCAACTCACAAAAGAAACCCAGCAATAAAACATTGCAGTTCACACACCTCTGCAAGGCAATGACTATCCTAACATGAGACTAATGCACTTTTTGACTGCCAAAAAGGCAAGGCTGGCATGCTCATTTTTAAAAGCTTCCCAAGTATTACACAATTAACCAGGTTTATCACTTCTTACTTAGCAAATGGGTGAATGGCAATCCCTCGGGGCTGGGAGATATCCTCCCAGATGATAATTTTTCTTTGCATTCCATTCAGGTTGCTCCTTTCGATGCACGCCTTCCTGCAACACACACGGCACTATTAGGTCCTCCCTATCTTTTTAATTACCTTCTCAGGCAGAATGTACTAAGTTTTTGCATTGCTTTAGTTTAGCGCAAAACTGTAATGAATAACTTCACAATGACAGGAAATAATCCTGCTGATATGGGATGTCTAGCTGTTTTATCAATAAGTAATTCATGTTACAGCTTCGTTATCTGGTCCAGGGCATGATGATAAAATACCTGCTGCTCTGCAGGAGACATGAAGTTCTCCTTTTTTGGGCAAATAATGAGATGGAAGTATGATCACTAACAGATGAATGTCAGCTTTAAAGGGAGTCAGGAGGAAAAAAGCTCCTAACTGAATGGCATTATCAAATGTATAAAGAATTTTTTTAAAGTAGTACTTTTATATAGCATTTTTCATTCAGAAATTGCCAAGCAATTTACATATCATATCTATTTTACAGGAAAGAAGGAAGCTAAGGTCCTTATGATCACTCCTAAAATCTATGGCAGAGTCAAGTAAAGAATCTATGTTGTCAGTCTCCCAATCTGATTTTTTTCCAGCAAACTGTACTTACTGCTACAAACTTCACCTTGCCAAACAAATATCAGCCTGTACCTGAAAGCAAGCCTACAACCTTCCATGCCTACCTGAATCTGCAAAGAAAGGCCACACAAAGATGGAAGGCAAAATATATTCGTGCAAATGTGGAATACAAACAGGTAAATGCAGTGAGTGAGAAGGAAGTGGCGGATAGAAATTCACAGCTTCACCCTTGATTCTTGTCTTACGGAGACGAGCACCACAATTTCCCGTTTTACAAGAAACACTGGCATATTTATACAGGAGCACAACCGTGTAGACAAGATCGTACCTAATAGCAAGGAAGTGGATTAGCGGCATATTTAAAAGGGAGAAGGAGGGTGATCAGTACATTCAAAACCATTTTTTATTGACTAATAAAATATGGGTCATACTGAAACATCATGACCACTCTTCAAGGAGTCTTCATTATGTGTTCTGATCTGACGCTGCCTTTTCACCAAAGGCCGATTTTGTTTCTCTCTGCATATAAGGTTAGGTATCAGCTGAAATGTGAAGTCATATTGTTTGCCAGTGGCCAATTCCTCTTTTATCAGAGATAATTGACAAAGACTCTCCATTAGCTTAAAGGGGCATGATTCTAGCTGTCAACAATGTTGACTTCTGTCCAATATGTACTCAGCACAGTAATACTCATTATTTTTATATATATAAAAAGATATAAAGATATACCTATATATACACACATGCAGCGTATGTATATAAATATGAGTGTATACATATATATACATCACACGTGCATGTGCACATACAGATATGTATACATGCAGTACATGCTTTAGATTCTTTGCAACTGTGTCCAAACCCTTGCTTCTTGGAAAGACAAAGATAAAAATACAATAGCAGACTCAAAGTGATCTTCCCGCATTTCAGTTTTAAAGAGCCTTCCAACTGTATATACTTGAGATTACAGCTACCCAATCAGAATGTGAAGCATTACTGAATTTAGAGTGATATCTCAGCTATTTCTGTATCACCAGTCATTTATTCCAAATAATTTATGGCATGCTTCAACATAAATGCACTGTGGAGCATGTACCCTCTGTCTGTCCAATACAATTTACGGTTGATCCAGTCCACAGCAAGGCCTTCGGGTATATCTATAGCTTCATGAATAACTTTTTCACGATTTGAGCCATCCAGATTAGCTCGTTCTATCCATTTCAAGGCGGTGTGGGCAAAGTAAATCTGTGAAGAAATAACAGATGAGGTATTATTAGTCCCCATCTCACTTTCTGCTCTATTTCCCTTGTCTAATAGTTTCACTTCTAAAATAACTTTATCATCTTGAAAGTTCCCTGAACTGATTATTCACAAAAAGCTGCACAGGTAACCTGTGATCCCCGATCAAATAAAAAGGCATTTATCCTTTAACCAGGATGACTTCTACAGGCAGCTTGTGCTTAGCTGTAAATCCTGGTTGCCCTGTATACAGCCCTCTGAATATCCTGTGGTTTTGTGTGTCAGCAAGCAGCTACCTCACATGAAGCACAGCTGAGGAAGCAAAAGTAGGAGCAGGCAAAAAGCAGCATGTTATCATTTCACTGGCTGCTTATTTTAAAAAGGGGGGAGTGGGGAGAAGAGAGCAGTAGTGTATGTGTGTCAAGGAGCTGGGGAGGGAAAAGGAGCTATATAATTGCCTTCTCTTTTTTTCCTCTTTCAGCCTGTACATATCTTAATTTTTAACCAGGTGTCTATTCTGTAAGGCTCTAACATTTCCAGAAGAGGCTTCTCAGTTTTGGGTCAAAATAAAAATTCTCTGCTGGTGGGGAAACTAGGTTTGTGTTTTCCAAGGATGAGGAAAAAAATTTGTCTTCTATTTGATATCCAGAGGGAGCCAAACGCTGTATGGCAGAACTATATACACAGCAATGCTGAGGCTTTCTTTGCAAATGACAGCAACAAAACAAATAACTTTGTTTTCATGCTAACCATGAGGCCAAACAAAGCAGGAGGGAGGCCTCTAGCACGAAACCAGCTAATTCAATTACCATGGGAGCACAGAGCGGTGCTGAGCTAATTTACCTCGCACCTCAGTTCTGTGCCACCAGGACCAGACTGCTGCAGCCTGGCTGGCCCACTGCGCACCCCCTCGCCTCCGCACTGCCGGCCCCACCGGCGTCCGGAGCTCCCTGCAGAAGTGGAACAAGAGCGCGCACCCGGTGTCACTGGCGCGGCTGATTTACATTCGGCGCAGCACAGAACAACTGCTAGTTCCCCCGCAGGGCCCTATTTCAGGAGCAAGTGGCGATGTTCCAGCAGGGCCTGAAATGATCCTCCTGTAACGCAGATCTGGTAACATTTGCATTTGTTTAGCTGTGTCCGTCCAGGCCTTGAGATGTTTCCAGCAACTTAACTGAGCTCCTCATCAGCTTTCACTGTACCATCCAGTATCTTCTTGTAACACTTTTACAGCATACGTAGGTCTCACCATGGGAAAAAATAACTATCTGCCACAGAAGGTTTAGCAAAGCACAGCTGAACCCCTATTCTTCCCAGCTCTGCAGGCAAGGAGTAGGGCATTGGGTTGCAACCACACAGACAAACAGCTCTTTATGCAAAGACAACTCCCGTTTCCAACAGCAATATCTTGTAATACGAGGAATACATTTTGTAAGAGCAATAAACAGTTTTGCTCAATAATGTTAGGACATTGGAAGTAATTCTTGTTAAGATTGCTCCTACATTTAGTAGGGATCGTGGGATGTAGCTGTACAGAAAAAAAGATACTGTTGCTTTTACAACTACCCAGTGAAAAAACCCCACAATATATTTCCAGAAAACAGTACTGAAATCTTAAGGGAGAAAACTATCAATCACACAAAGTTCTTTGAAATTGAAATCATGCCTGAAGTGAATTTAGAAATCCAAATTCTCTGTGAATTTGCCATGTCAATGTACAAAGCACATTCAATTGGTAAGTAAAGGATGAAACTCTTAAACTAGTGTTTGACATCCTGTACCAGTTGGGCTCCTGCACAGGCAACAGAACAATGAGCAGCACAACATGTAATCTGGATCACTGACAGCGGAAAGGTTAAGGCGCCTGAAAGCCCAATCCATTTGTCCTTGCAACACTTCAAAATCCTCTCATTTTTAATGCCTTACCTTATTTTCCACCGGGTCAGAGTCCAGTGCTAAGACTATTCCCATCTGCCAGTCAAGTAAACTTGCATAATCTGTTCCATCAAAACTGATCTGGCGGATATCCTGGCCATTTGCAAATAATAAAAATGGCTTAGGACCTGTTGATGAAAATTTGCACTATGTTAATTCCACTAGGTACAAAGTGATCTCCAGCCTGCATCACTACCTAGCTAACATTGTAAGTAAGTAACAGTAGAAGACAAAATGAGGAACAGAAGCAAAAAAGAAATGAAGGCCCTTGTCCTACATTCCACTTGCCTCAGAAATTAAAGATGAATGAATATAGGTTTTCAGCAGCAGTGCCTTCCCCAAGATTCCCTCAAAATTTGTGATAAAGGCAGTCACTAGCCCCGCTGCATTTTACACTGAGTGACTTCACCTCAAGACAATCTTCCCTCTGCATTTCACAGCATCACCTTAAGTGCCAGAACACTTGACTTTTGCACATGAGAAGCCTTTCACAGTAAAAGTAAGAAAAATGTTGTCCTCCAAAAAACAAAGCTTTTCCCTTATTCTTGAAACAAATCACAAACTTTTCTTTCCTCCTCTCTCTCAGGCAATTGCTTACACCTTCCTCCTCATCAGGGTCTGCCCTTTTCTCAGAAGAAACAGAAGGGTCTGGAATCCAAACGTCACATCAAATACCTGGGCTTCCTGGGGCCAGTGGGGGAGAAATATCCTTCCAGGGAAGGTCCTTCAACAGACTATTCCCTGCCCTGTTCTCCAAATGTAGACACCTCAACCCCAATTTTGTAACACTGGGCAGAAACTACACCCACATTTATATGAAGGCACAAAAACCTGAATACTGCAGATAGACCTCCGCAATACAGGAGCCCAGAGTGAAATGCAGAAGTTGGATAATAGACTGAATCTTCTGTGAGGGAGACTGAACTATATACTGGTGCTTGTTCTAGTATATTTCCAAAACAGGTTATTTTTCCGAACTAATATTTCCCAAGTTTCACAAAGTAACCTAAAAACAGTGCAACAATGGATCCCAGTTATGCAATCCACTTCAAAGGACTCTAAAATCTTTTTGCTTTTATTGACATAAATATGCAGGCATACCAAGATACCGACCTATAGCAGTGCAGTGCTTTCTGTCTCGCTGAAGCTTATATCCAGGAAAACAAGCACACTCCCAGGAGGATGGGCTTAAAGAAGAACATATCTGACTACAGCCACCATTATCTGGAGATGTACAACCTTAAACAGAGCATTTGAAAAATTTAACTTTGCCATTCTAAGAAAAAAATACAACAAAATCAGAGGTATAAGCAAGAGAACGATTTACTCTGCTTAGGATTTCTACAGTGCAAAGCATCTCAGTGACTGATAGATTTACTGAAATTTCCTGCTGAAAGCAGAAGTCTAGTGAAGTGAAAGCAAATTAGTAGTAACTTCTTCCAGAGTTTTTCCTGAAAATTCACAACACAAGATGGGGGCGTGGGGGGACGGAGGGGTGGGATATATGAAGAAGGCTTTCATGTGTTCATTATTTCAGAGAACTCTTTCTCCCTTGCAAATCTCATCTCATCTACAACAGAGTAACAAATTTTATCAGACTTTGCACTCCATGCAAAGAAACAGCTAATTAATGCCGTTCTCTTCCCAGAAGTTAATTAGGCTAGGATGGTGAATTGACACTTTCTAATACAACAAACCAAGATTTCATACAAAAAGAAACTATTCTTTCTTCTTGGTGCTGTACAATGGTTATAGCCTCAATGCCAACCTGAGCTTACTCAGTGGAGTGTCCCTAGCAAAACAGCAACACTGACTGAATTTGTGTATACAGTACAGTCCACAGTATGTAAGGGATGTAAAAGGGGAAGAGAATTTTTCAAGGTGTAAGGCTGGCGTTAATGGAGCTATCTTGACCCCTAAGACTGAAAAGATACAGTTGAAAAGCTACAGTCCCCTGAATTTTGAAAGCTTGCTGGAATGGGGAATGACAGGTTAGTGGGTGCAGCGGCTTCAAATATTCTGACTGCAAAAATTCCATTTGTAGGTAATTAGATGAAATTGCTGTAAGTTAAAGTGACTCTGAACCTGGGTTGCACGATGTCATAAAGTCATCTTCAGATTTCACCCAAGCCCTAATTTTGTACCTATATTTCCCCTCAAATATAAATTTTAGATATCTCCTGCCACAAACATCTGGGAGATGACTTGATCTGTGCTGACAACAAAAGAATTTGGCCTGCAAACATTGGATGTTGCTGCTAAGAAACATCTATTAAAAAAGAAGATGCAAATTGCTCATCTCAGCACTCAGAGCGCCTGACATTCCACTGCCTCCTATCTTGTACAATCATTTACAGCTGTGCAAAATGAGTGTAAAATGCCATCATTCACTTCTGGCTTTCAGTGCCAAGAACACAGAGAGTTTGGCAGTCACTACAGCTAGAAAAAATGTTACTTACCCGTGCATGCTTTGCCATCCACTTTGAGTACAGATCCTTCAGGACAAAAACAAACAGGCCCCTTAGATGTTTGAAGGCAACCATGACTACATTCGGTGTCATTACTTGTACAGGAAATTAGCTCTACAGCAATTTAAAGAGGAAAAAAAAATCTTAAATTATGACAAAAATTTTTACTAAGCCCCCCAAAAGAGATGTTAACACTTTCTTAAATGGGGGGGGGGGGAAAAAAAAAAGAAAAAAAAAAAAGTTATGTTGAGCGTACAACACTTCTGTGGTCTTTCTGGGGTTTGTTTTGGTTTGTTTTGGGTTTTTCCAAATTTTTTTTTCCCACCGTCTCCTAATTATAGCAAAGGAGAAAGCCAAAATTGCTGGGTCCTGAAGCCATTATACTGATCAGCTTTAAATTTTCCAAAATTGTATGAGACGTGTTATCAAAATAGAAATAATTTAGAAAATTTTCTTTTTTACATTTCATCAAAAATGAAAACTACATTTGAAAATTTGAAAACTACAAGGAATTTATACTGAAAGAATAAGTATAAAACACAAAGAGAAGAGGAAAAACTACTTTCCTAGTACTCCATGGGTAACAGAGCTAGAATCAACAAAAACAGGAGATGAACCTTCCAGAAATAAAGCTATGTTCCTTAGTGGCAATTTTTGAAGCTGTAGGGGCAAAACCATCTGAGGACCTGGCAATAGCTTTCCTTTACTTTCCATTATAATTGTTGGAGTGCCAACATTTTTTTGAGTATTTCTTTAGTGCAATTTCACAGGATATCCTCCTTCCACCTTCTGTATTGCAGTGCTGCATCTCTTTATGCCAATTCTAGTGCCATATGGCAACACCCGTGGAAGACTGGAACTAAAGCAAGTTTCCCACAGCTGCTTCTTTGAATCAGCTGCATACACTGGCTTAAATGGCGCATAGCTGTTGCAAATATTGCTTCTCCAGGGCAACTGCGCTCTGGACTGGATTGTTCTAACCCCTTAAGCACAGTGAAGAGGGTCAAGAAACTGATCTTGTATTTCTTTCTGACTAGAGCTTGTGGCTTTAGATGAAGAGCTTTATACAGGACTTGGAGGACAAAGCATCAAAATGTCTGGTCAGCGTGTGGACTTCTCACCTTGCATCTCTCTCTCTCTCAAGTTGCGTAGATGGTGACATATCTGCCTTGTGCTGCAGTAGTTAAGGAGTTATACTGTCCATGCTGCATCCCTAGCCTGTGTTAGAAAAACATTATTTTCTATCTAATTTGAGCCACTCAAAATGTAGGCATATAGTTCAAGCTAGTCATCCAGAGTAGGACTGAGTTGCACAGTGTCTAAGTGCTGTTTTGCACGCAAAAGGATGTCCCACCTCCCAATAGCCTCTGGCTGCAGGACTCCCACAGGTCTTCTGTCACATCTGGCTGCCTTCCGCAGCTGTCACACACACCCTGGCCCCCCACGTTTGGGCCACTGAATCCTACTCCTGGCTCCCTCTTAACAGAGAGGGAGAAGTGACTCTTGGAGGTCTAAAATAGATAGACTGACTGGTAAAGTCTGTTAGGCTGCTAGAGTCTGTTAGACTGTTACTCTCTGGTAGCGATATTTAATATACCTTAGGTCCTGATCCTACCATGATCCAAACTGAACTCATTGGTGTGCACTGGCACTTCTACTTGGGGCATATACCAATGTTTTATTTCCATGGAAACAAGGTAGAAGGACCCTTTGCTTATGCCTAAGTTTCACTTCATTATGAAATAGAAAAGTGACTGGGAATATCCCAAGACCTCAAAACTTGGAGGCATTTCACATTTTATGTTCTAGACTTACTTTAGAAAGACTTAATTCATTTGTAGGCTGAATATACACAATGCTGCATAAAGGGAGAACAAAAACCTTCACCTCTGACTCTTACTATGACTAAAATATGGTCCTTGAAGCTTACTGACAGACAGACCTTTGGTTTTCCCCTCCACTTCTCTGAGTTCTCTGCATTTAGTTTATCCACATTTATTCAGCTTCACAGAGCTTCCTGGTTTACATATCTACGTTATATGATAAGTTCTCTCAGGCATACTTCTTATACACAATTTAATTGATAAAAGAAAAAAAATAACCCGTAAGTGCAGCAGTCCCCCAGAATAAAAAACTTTGTGAGTACTTCCGTGTGTCTGATCATTGTAAACAGATGCACATGCAGTTAATTTTATTATTTTCATGCATATTGGCAATGCTATCAACCTGCTCTGAAGAGAAAAAAGATGATGCTGTAAGCTGCTCATTCAGAGACTGTGCAAATTGTTACACAGGTTAGACAGAGTAAGCCAAATTCAGAGACTACATTCAAAAAGATATAACTGCTTATCCACCTGGAACGTGCCACAGAGCCTAATCTGAGCAAAGAGATCTCTTTAGAGACCTAACTTTTTTTTTTGCTCATGAAGAGGCTCACACTTGATTACTCACGTGTAACTTATACTTCCTTAAACAAGAAATCTGAATTTGGTTCATTCAGTTTAAGCTGATCCTACTTACATAATAAGGGATTGGAAGCGAACAATGCAACACACACAACTTTTGGCGGTTCCAGTGTTAAATGAGGACTCTCTCCGATATCGTACTGGAGGCATTTATGTATTACTGCTACTTACCATGACATGTTTTCCTATCAGGCAGCAGAACAAAACCTCTCGGGCAGGTGCAGTAATAGGAACCAGGGATGTTCACACAGCCCAAAGTACAGCCATGATTCCAGAAGCCACATTCATTGATATCTGCCAAAAGAAGCGCTTGCTGTGTCAGAACAACGTCATCAACCAGTGTCAGGGAATTAGATTAATGAAACAGACTAACAGTCTTCAAGAAGTACCTCTTTTTCCTATTCATTTTACAAAAATATGTTGGTCCTAATAAATGATAAAAAAGCAAGTCTTTATTCAAATAAGATTTAAAAACCTTCTAGCAAAACCTACTCAGGCTGCAAGTGTCCAGCATAGGTGCCTGGAGGATTTTCGACTTAAGTATGCCTTCCCATACAGATTCCAGTGCCAGTTAAATCCTGTATGCACCCAAAAAATCTACATTAGACACTTCCGTCAAACAAAAATTCTTTTAAAAAATTTGGCTCCAGCAAACACAGAAGTGGTTTAAGAAGCTGACATTCAGAAAGCAATCCTGGTGAATTTCCTGAGAACTGGATGGCTGCTGCTCAGGCAGGTCTGTAAATCCTGTAAACGAGGAATTTTGATGCTTTTATGTCTTTTCAAATCTGGTCGTGTAGTGAAAAAGATGTTTCTAAAAGTGATATGTTAACTATTATTAATAGTAATGTTGGATTTTTATTAAAACAATCCAGATTAAAACATTTAGAAGCATGTTAAGAATTTGTGTCTTTTTTGAAAGTGGGACTTAAGACAGCTGTCTTGTTGCAGGATTTTCACCTTTGTGATGTTTCACCTTTGGTCGTGTATCTGTTTTAATTTTTATTTAAAAATTAAATAAGCAACCATAAGCACACCTACTTATCTGAAGCTCCTTTAACTACTCAGGCTAAGACCAAAATTTCTCACAAGAATAGCATTTGTGACAATTTCATAAGGTCTCCTTTTAGACTATTTCAGAACCTGGAAGGACACAAAACTGAAATGGCACAAATGGACTACTTATCTGAAGCTCCTTTAACTACTCAGGCTAAGACCAAAATTTCTCACAAGAATAGCATTTGTGACAATTTCATAGGTCTCCTTTTAGACTATTTCAGAACATGGAAGGACACAAAACTGAAATGGTACAAATGGAATTTTTTAAGACCTCAGAGTGTTTTTTCGTACTCAAGCTATGAGTAAAGTAAAAGAACAGAAGAATTTTTTCATCTGATGGAATAAAGCTGACGGGAGATTCACATATTACCTTCACAAAACTGTTTATTTCGACTTAAAATAAAGCCATTAGAACATTTACACCGATGAGTCCTTGAGTCTGGCCTGCAGATTCTTCTTCTGCACTTTTCTTTGTTCAAATCACAGGTTCCCTTTTCTGGAAGAACAAATATAGTGTAAATGTAATGGAGTTCTTACCATATCAACCTTCAAGGAGAAACTATTTAGAGCAAAGATGCTCAGTGATGTGTCTTCTTCTCAACAGCTACTTGCTCAACCCGAGGAACTTCTTATTAATTACAAAAATATGTTGGTCCTAATAAATGGTAAAAAAGCAAGTCTTTATTCAAATAAGCTTTAAAAACCTTCTAGCAAAACCTACTCAGGCTGCATGTGTCCAGCATAGGTGCCTAGAGGACTTTCGACTTAAGTATGCCTTCCCATACAGATTCCAGTGCCAGTTAAATCCTGTGTGCACCCAAAAAATTTACATTAGACACTTGTGTCAGACAAAACGTAAAATCAGGCCAAAAAGTCACTAAAAATCATAGTACTTGGAAGACTAAGAGTAGGTCTGTGCGAATGATCATTTCTAGCTCAGTGTCAGCACAAGCAGATCTAGAGAGAGCCTGAAGTAGGGGATGGTTTGGTTTGGGTGCATACCTATAGTGACTATGAAAGGGAAAACCCTGCGTGTCAGGCCAGTCCTGCACAGTATTATATGTTACCAGGCTCTGTAAAACACTCAGAAAGAAGAGAGCGACAGAGAGAGAGCACACATGCAAAAAGAGAGAGAAGAGAAATAAAGAGAGAGAGCATACAAAGACTGGAAATTATTAGCACAAAGTGGTGCTCAAGTCTCACATTATTTAACAAAAAAACAGCTGGACAGATCATAATGACCATATGTTTCATTTGGACAAAAAGTATTAGCACAGTCTAGAGAATCGTTGTACTGGAGTGGATCCTGGTTTCTGACTATGAGAAATACAAGCGTTATAAATCTTGAACTCAGATTTAAAACTCAGAATTTTTCTGATGTCCAACAAGATATGACCAAAGAGATCCCCAGAAGCCCTCCTACTTCTCCTGTTTCACAGAAAAAGGCAAACAAGTCTTCAAGTATCTTTTTTCATGGGAAGGATTTGCAGAGCCTCATGTCTGTGCTCAGCTATCTTTTAAAGCTGGTGCTTTCGCAGATGTGCAACACTCATGGTTTTATTTTTGCCTCCCAAACTATTATTTTTGTTTTAATCTTCCTAATCTTCTTCTGGGGTTGCTTGCCCCCTTCCCAAGCTAAGAATAGCTGAACTCCTGCTACTGAATGTGGGTATGCAGCCACCCACACACAACACTGTCTTTGCCCTGTGCTGTCTGTGTAACATATAAGAAATCACGGGCTCATGCAGGCAAAGAAATTAGTACGTGAGCAATTTTCTTGCGCTATTTCTAATTCACTCTCTAAATTCCAAGAGATGGAAAGCAGCATAATATTTAAGTTTGACATTTAGTCTTCTGCTAGCCACAATAGAGAAAATGCTGACCATTTGGTAGAATGACAGATCACATTTATAAAAGACTGAAATAATTTCCCCGACAGACACTTCAGCTTGGCTGAAATCATCAACATTGCACTTATTTGCATCAAACTGATTAATTCTTCTCCAACAAAATTTGTATCGTGAAATGAAAAATGATGAATGGATGACTAGATGGGTATTATCTATGTTACTAAGCACGATAGCTTTTGAGAGACTTGAATTTTACATAGTTTTATCTAAGCCTCTCTCTTTGTAGAACTAGTTTTGAATTGGACCCTTAATCTTTGTCCCTACTGGAACTGAATCAGGAACATACAGTAGTGGGGTGTCTAATCTTCAAATACAAAACTCATCAGAATGACAAAAGTTCAAGTACATGCAATCACAAAACAATACAAAACAGAAACAAGACCACATTCAAGGCTGCATCTTACGCTTATCACTGGTGCTGTACCTTGCTTGTACCATTATTGGTCTAATGAGACCTAAGACACCCAGGAATTCCAGAAGAAATAACAGAAGCAATAATTTTGCCATCTAGGCAATCTCAAGAAGATACTATTTTTGAACTGAATAATTATTAAAACTCGATATTGCCGAATCAATATGTAAAAAAAAAATCACATTTCAAAACTTAAAGTGAACGGTGACTAAATTATGAATCACAGTTTTTAAGGTAATATTTTCTGGAAGAACAACCACTATGAACTTTCTAGTTTGTTTGGTTTTGGGGTTTTTTTTCCCCTTCCATCACCTCTCTTATATGGAAATGGGTGTTCTCAGATAATAGCCTGATGCTGGTATCTTACACTGGAAAGAAGCACAACATAATTCCTCCAAAAAAATATCCTGAGTGTACTGAATATCATTAATCTGTCAGAGAAGATACTTCAAAAAAATTCCAGAGGCAGTCTTTGAGATTTTAAGGTAATTAAGATATTTTGTGAGCCATTAATAAAAGTGTGAAGAACATTCCAGAAGGTATTTATAAATACACATACTGTCATCAAATCTAGGATTAGCTGTCAAAGAGAGCTGAGGTAAGTTAGAGGCCATCTTCCAGATACTGCTGTACTAAAGTTGTTGTGTGGGATTATAGCAAACCCGTAGCTGAATTCATGCTCTTCTCTGTACTTATTGGCCCTGACCAATCCAGGTAACTCTTTTTAAAGAGAAAGGGAAGAGGGGACATAAGGAATTTAAGTAGTAAAGTAAATAATCCAAATTCCAGTAAAAAATCAAATCATGTCAGCTGAGCACTTCTCCTCAGTTCCCTTTTCGTCTGAAGGAACTCACTTGCTATCTGCTTTAAAGAAGGCCTGATAATTCACAGCTGTCACTACATTGTAACATACACTTTCTTAGCTTGTACAGAGCATCCAATTAGTCTAGGTATGCTTTTATCTCCAGGTTTCTCTGTTGTAAGATCAGCTATAAATCTCATTTGTACTCCAGGCTCATTAGTTCTCCTTTCATCCCTTGGATAAGCCAAGCAACGTACATGCAAAGTCCAAAAGGTTCATCTGGAGTCAGCCTTTAAGCTTCTTTCTACTCCATCACTTCCCATACATTTTTGCAAGAAGGTATTTGGAATAAAAAAAAGGCCTACTGCTGATAACAATTACTGTCACACAAAAATTTACTAAACATGTTGGAAATATAGGGGTATATACTGCAAGGCATTTAAAAACACTGGTAGTTTATTTATTAATAAAGGTGGGGAAACCCTCTTTCCAGTGGAAAGAGAAACATCGGAAAGCAGCACGTTCTGGTGGAAGAAGTAGAGTTAATCTTCTGAGAGAAGAATAAAAGCTAAGTGCCCATAGTCAATGAAATTATGCTACTCACTCTTGTGGAGAGGACATAAGTAACACAACAAATAGTCCCTGGGGTTCAAGAGACCGCTGTAATGAACTACCTTTCTTGGTCATTCTTTCTTCGTCTTCATCTTCATGCATATGCAGACATGGTGACAGACGCCCAAGGAGGCCTCATGAGACCTTCCAAATCTCATTGTAACAACCCTGAGACACGTGGACATGCCACTGTCTGCACCACAAACGTATCCTTCCCTAGTTGCTCTGTGTGAGAGCACCAAACATGTCAGTTGAAAGAAGTGCTTCCATTTTGCCAAGGTGACTGTTTTCCTCAAAGGAAGCACAGAACAGGTATTGTCTCTGAATGGAGGCTCCCTGTGTTTACAAGTATAAGCTTCATTTCCAGGAACACTTTCTCTTGTGCATCTCAACAGCTCTTTGCACTACAAACAAAGCATTTCAAGGGTAACGCTCCCTTGAAGATTTTGATTTTCCCACTCAGACCAACTTCAGTTCCCACAGACCACGTGGTACTGTATAAAGCTGTTGGTAGGCATGAAGAAAGACAAAGCCTATTTTGTAGTAGATATTTAGAAATGGTTCAAGAGAGATATTTACAGTTTCATTTTTGCTCACATGAACAAACACTACTTTCTCCTCATGTCTTTATACCACCTGTACCTCTGGGAACCCATGGCCACCTTGCCTTGGGAGTTCTGCAACCATTGCTCAACACATAAATACCTCTATGCTATTTGCTCAGTTGTTCATATCCAAGCAAAACTGGTGACAAAAGCTATTCCATTAAAGCAAGAATATTCTATGTCTGCTTTCCAGACATCAGAGGACAAGACATTATTTCCCCTGGATACCCCCACTTCCTACTGCCTCAGCACAAATCCTCAAGGAGAGTGAGCTATCCATAGTCAACTGCCTTCATTTTCTGGTCCACAGTGAAAGGCAGTGACATGACCATCTCATATGTAGGCTGCAATTGATATCAATTAAAGAGACCCAAGGCTCTTATTTCATAGTTATTATGGCAACTTCAACTCTGCCTAAAACAGGCTGACTCTTTATCCAGCCATTTCACAGCAAAGTTGAGACATCCACAGTATCACTTGTAGGACATACTACGCACTTAAAATCCTTCAGTGCCATAATACTCTGAGGTGTTTAGATGCACATTAGAATAAAACTTCCAGAAGGGAGCAGGTATTTGATTAAGATAATCTACATGGAGGATTAAAAAGCTGTATGCTTTATGCATTTAGCAGGGAAGTATAAAAATACCTTTGTGTAAACAAAGGGAAGAAAAGGAGAAAATCACATTTATCTGCATGTCTATTCAGATTAATGAAATGAGCAGTTCATGCTCAGCACACTTCCAGCCTGGTGCTCCAGCTGGAGTTACACACATCAAGTGGAACAGTGGATCATTGAAGTAAAAGGAAACTTTCTCCTTGACTTTACTGAGGCCTGGAATTTTGCCGAAGAAAATTATTACTATGAGAAATCAGAGTGTATGACATTATTATTCTCACACATACAACTGTATCATTACAGCTGACTTACCGAAATCCTGAGAATCTGTTCTTGCACCTGGCTGTTTAAAGGGATGCACCACTTTTATCTCCACTGGTGGAAAAAATGATGGCTTCAGGCTAATTGTGACTACAACTTTTCCAGTATACTTGTCAGCTCTCCATATCGTACCAGATTTCAACTCTGAGTAGTACAGATGCTCAGCAAAGAGAGACATACCAAGCAATTGATGTCTACAACAAAGAGAAGATAATACACAGTGGCACATTACTTGATCCCTATATATTTACTCACTTATACATTTTCTGAGCACCTAGTTCAGTCAAGTTCACTGTAAATAATCTTTCTTTGTATTCTTATATATATCTTATATTATCTTATATATATGAGAATCAGATGAGGTGCCAGAGACATTCCCAAATAATCCAGCACCCAGAATCTTGCAGATTTGCAAGAAATAGATGCAAAATGGATAACCTGTATTTCTCACAGGTTATATGAGCTGTTGTTCAGGACTGACTCAATTGACAGAAAAAGCCTAGGTATCACCCTGCTTCTGGTGAACCCAGCAACTAAAATGGACACTTGCTTTGTTGCAGGATGTAGGCCAGATAAGTTCCTCCATTTCCCAATTTCCAGTGCCTGCTCTGACCCTTCTGACTGTCCCAGGAAATCAGGGTGGAGATGGAGGAGTAGGAGTAGGGCATTCCTAAAATCTGTCTTGCTGCTTCTCAGACTTAGTTTCCATCCGCTGGTCAGTTATGGCAGCCAGCAGGAACCCCCAAAGGGCCCAGATTTAAATAAGAGGGAAAGCAGAAAAAATACCGAAAGAGGGATTTTTGGCCTCCACTTTCCAGTACATATTCCAGGTGGAAAAAGGAGAATCCATATCATCCAGGCTCAAAGGGAAAGTGTTGATGCCCTGGTGAATACCAGCCAACTCGAGGGAGAAAGGGGGAAAGGCTAAGGAAAAATCCAATGTGACAGCTGGCAATGCAGGGAGGAACCAGCTTTGCGTTTGTCATATGGAAATTGAGTGCTGCCTATTTAAATTAGCAGGCCAGTGAAACCATGTATTTTTCACATTTTGCAGTTGGCAGTTCCTATTACACATACGCTGATCCAGCCATACTGACAGAAACTGCAGTGACATAAGGCAACCTTTTCCTGAGTACCTCACTGGAAACAAGCCCACCATGGAGCATCTGTACCACTGCAAAGCATGAAGGCCAAATACTAAAGGCACCCAGAAGCACATGGGTCTAACAGCCCCCTCAGCGGTGCTTAGCCCCGGCACTGGGAGCAGAGGGGAACAAGTCTGTTGCGTAGGACAGTTTTCACCACATCTGCTGATGCTTGCTGGAGAGCCTGAACACAGGGGGTTGTCCGAGCCTCCCCGCCCGGCAGCTAAGAGGACAACAGACTTAGAGAAGGGTAGGAAACACCAGATCTAGCTCAGTCTCTTGAGCACAGCTCAGACACCTGAGCTCACCCACCGTGACCTTGGACAAATCATTTAATCTCTTTGGTTTTGGCTTCTCTATCTGCAAAAAAAGGCCACTAATAAACCCTCAGAGAGGATTTCTAAGGATTAGGTAGTTATCATTTGCTAAAAGCTTGGAAGATGGAGAGTACTGAGTGGCAGTATTATCCTTACCACAGTGACTTTTTTCCATTTTCCTAGCAGTAGTTTTAGATTTACAGTTACAGGCCATTTGCACTACACTTTATACTCCTTATTGTGTTATGAACTGACAAAATAAAAGGGAGAATGAGGAAGAGAGTTTAACTGTATCCCCGGGAAATGACAAGCTCAGGAAAACTCACCGGACAGAATTTTTGAGCAAACGAACAGCTCCGCCGTCATAGTCACATGATCCAATATGGGAAATCTCTTTCCCGTGGTCATGTTGGATCCAGTAGAGCCTTGTGTCAACCAAATCTAGTGAGATGGCCTTTATTTTTTCTGTGGTTCTTAAAACATTTCTCACATCACTTCCACTGAGGGACACTCGGTGTATGCTGGAAACTGTACCATCTGAAGACCAAAATAATAGCCTGCAGGCGAGAGGCATGTTTTGGGAAAAAAAAAAAAACCAACAAAAAAACCACATTTGCAAGATCACATTACTGCTACACGCTCCTTGTTTAGTTGCTCCTGTATAATTTTTCAGTCTTACCACAGTGCTTTCAGAACCAAAACTAGTAATAAAGCAAGGGACTTTCTTAATATGTACTCACCTATTTCAGGAAAGCCTCATATACATCTCCCTATTAAGATATAGGAAATAGTTCTATTAAGAATGGAAATAATTGTTGACAACAAAGCATTGTCTGTTTAACAGAAGCAATATTCCCACTAAAGTTTTGTTACAGTTGTTTTCTTATTTTAATAAATATGTTTGTATCAGAGACTGTATGACTCTGTTCAGGAAGCAATGAGATACTAGAAATATCTCACATCTAAGTCAAGCAGGAATCAGCCCAGCTTAACCACGAAGCACTATTGTCTGTCTCTCTGCTTTGTTCGGCCATGCAGTCAGAGAAGGAAACTGAAATAACCTCTCAAATCTACAGGGAACTCTTGCAAACTTGGGGAAAGGCACATCTTTGAGGCAGATATGCATTGCCCTCTGCCTCTGGGGAGGAATCTATCTCCAGAAACTCTAGTTGAACACATCACTTAACTTAAGTGCTTAACTTAAAAATACCATTTCTATTACTGTTCTCATTTCTTTCTACCTTCCTGCTGGTTATAGCAGCCAGACTATGCTGTCATTAAATTAAGACACAGTCAAAATACAGCTCCAATACTCAAAACAGTTACGCACTGAAGCTACTTATATGTCAAGTTATTCATGGATTAGAACCCAGATTTACCGATGTGACTAAGGTTAACAACAGTTCTTCCAAAATAACAAGTTATCCCTCATTCGTGTATATTTTATTTTTTAATGTTTGGGTTTAGATTCTTTGCTTGGGTGTTTTATGCACAAAAATTCCAAGAAGCATAATCATTTTGCCTTGTCTTCACAAAATTGCAGAATTTATATGTACAAAACAATGTAGCATAAAGCCAGCTTTACTATGCTTATGTTAATCATTTGTTGAAGGCCACAAAATGGATTAGATCACACTGGCAAGGGACTATACAAAACCAGTAGGAAGAATCAGCCCCTGCCTCACAGCTTTTCCTCACTGTTACATAGTCTACAGTTATCATAGGTTATTAATGTATAGGTGAAAACATGTTTCCAGAAGGACAGCCCAATTTTATAATACTTTATTAATATCTGCTTCCATTTCTATAGCACCTGTTATTTAAGAAACATCACTACTCTGGAAGTTTGGACAAATGCTAGGATTCACCTTTTACAGATAAGGAAACTAAGAAACAAAGGTGGTTATAGTCTCTATGCACAACTTTTGCAAATCAATGTAGGGACAGGATATTATATGAACACACAGGAAGACAGAAGAAGAATGAAGATTAGAAACTGGCTTGAGCAATTGCCAGCCTTTACTGTATTTGCCCTCTATTTTTCTTTAGTCTTAGTCCTTATTTTTCAGCATTTCTAAACACCATTAAAAAATTAAATCAATCTTACAGCAATAGTTATATTATTACTACTAAAATAATCCTATCACTGCTAATATCCAGACACATATTTTGAGAAAAACTCTATTATTAGGGTATCACATTGACCTTCATTACTTAAGAGTTGCACACATTTGAAGGAAGACATTGTTAATATCAGATTTAGCTCATGTTTATGGCTGTGCACGTAAACATGTTGGGGGTTTTAATTCACTTCACATTAAAAATAAAGCCCTCAGTTTTCATACAAGCAAATTGCCATAGGGGATAAAAATGATGTTAGACTTCTTGAAGTCTACTTTCTTTACAGTTTATTACTGGCTTACTGGCATCCCTGTAAGCACATGAGTACAGCTTTTATGCGTGGTGTATCACACCTGGGTGAATATACGCACTTGAGTCTCCCCAAACTTTCGCATAAGTTCAGCAAATATATCCCTATAATGCCATTTGTAACGTGTTTTGATGGCATTTGGCAGTGGGTTTGAGGACTTTTGAATATTTCCAAGATTCGTAAATACTACGTTCAAAAGCAAATCAGAAAAAAAATATATAGGCTGATGTTCAGACCTTTAAATCCTACCCAAATGACAAGACTCCAAAGAATACTAGTAAAGCTACTATCATCAGAAGATTGGTTTATGTATAAATGTACTAGGAAAGGACACATAAGCCTTAATATTACAATAGTTTCACACACTGCTGAGCAACTTAACTGCAAATCAAAAGTGGCAATAAAAACATGCTTTTGCTGTATGAAACAGAAGCATCTCAAAGTCTCCTAAAGCTTTTATTTTTGCAACTTTGATGGAAGAGGCTTATGTGTAAAGAGAAATTAGCATGGAAAGACCACTGTGACAATTCATATTGATAACTCTTGAGGAGGCCAAATCTCTTATGTGAGTATGGTTCTCAGTGTAAATGGCTTGAAGCTGAAATAAGCATCTTTATGAAGGCCAAATTATAGTGACACAAAGTAGCAACAGTAGATTCAGAATCAATATTCAGAGCAACTGACAAAGAGACAAGCGAAGCAGAAGCAAAACTGTGAATTTAGACCTTTTTTCAGAAAACATACCAATTTATATTCTAAGTGTGCCAGGTTTGGAGCACAAGGGACTCCCAGCATTTGTAGGCATCATTCCCCTTGCTGCTCCAATCCTGCTTTCTGCTGCCCTGAAACTTTGCTGTCTTTGAGAAAGGACCAGCAATGCCTCTTTTCCCTCAGCTCTCCTCACTAGCAAAATTCTCCCTGATGACCAAGAGGTATAGACTCTGCATTAGACTTCGGTGGGCTTTTCTCACACACTTCTTTGTTTCTCTCTTACATGCTTATTATAATCTTTTATCCTCTTTTGTCAAAGTTCAAGGAGGTATTGGACTACGGATAATACACTGTGCACAGACTAGCACAACAGCCTATAAACTGCAATCATAGTACTTCGCATATTTTGAGTCCATTTCAATGAAATTACTAACCTAGTTAAAATTACCTTTGCTCAGCATCAATGGTAATCCTTGTGGGACGACCAACATCTCTTAGAAGAACTCGGCGTTTCTTCCCATTCATGTCTGTCACTTCTATAGTTGCTTTCTGTCTATTGGCCCAGAGAATGTCTTGATTTATCCAGTCAATAACAAATCCTGAAATGCCTTTGTCTATGTAACATAGTCTCTGTAAATGAAAAAAAAGTTGACAAGAAGCATCCCAGTGATTACCCTAGACTTGACTTTCAATATAGGGAATAGAGTGCCAGACTGAAGCTTCCCATTTCATTCCTTCGCCTGCTTCATTTTCTCTCAGACTTGTCAATATTTCTCTTTCTTATTCTTTAATCACTTTCATTTGGTCTTTGTACTTACACATACCCCTTCTGAATTGCGTGACTCCCTGAGAAAGGGGAAACTGTTCTCCATGAGAAATACAGTGGACTAATCTTTTAGCTATAACTTCTTGCATTTGGCACTCTATGAAGCACCCAGACCTGTACTGTTACAAACGGAAGACTTCCTAACACACAGTTGCTGGACCTTGATCCTTAAAAATCAGCATAAAATACATCAGCGAAGACTCCACATGGGTACGGGAACACTGGCAATCTCTCTCAAACAAAAGAAAGCTCTCACAGCATTAAAGTTCAGCCACAACAGCCTGTCTGCCGATCATAATCAGCCAGCTGCAATGAACTGCACAGCTTTTTCTGAACAAAGGATGAAGTGCTAAAAGAAGCATTTATGCAACCATAGAAACCAATAAAATGTTTGAGAAAAAATGAGTAGGAATTCAAGCACATTCTTCTCATACCATTTGTGCCTGTTTGTGTTACAGTAATATGGAAGACAAACTTCCATAATGCCAGGGATTAATTTAAAACTGATAGAAACATCATTGTCTTCAAAGCTTTAGTTTGTCTGAATTTCCTCTCCTTCATTTTCAACTCCCCTTCACTTGATCCCCAGAAAATACTAAATGTACTGTGAATGCCAGTAAAACAGCCTAGACTCAGAACCACAGCTATTACTACAGCAAAAACTATTTAATAAGTCTGAAGTGCTAATCAATGAACAGGAATGGCAGAATTGTACGTAAAGAGCAGGTGGTTTCCATGGAAGGTTTTACGCCCATTAACTTGGAGAATTCCAGAGAATTGATTACTTTACCTCTCGTTTTGTGCCATTGAGGTGAATTCTTTGAAGTAATCGCCTTTCAGAGTCTACCCAATACACTTTCTCTTCTGTGTAATGAAAATCCATAAGCGTTGACTGACCAGTATCAGCCACCAACCTTTCGTGATTGGTCCCTTCAGTGTCAATTCTAAAGATGGCATTTCCATGGCTAAAAAGTAGGAATGGTGCAGGGTCTGGTGAGGAGAAAACAAAAAGAGGCCAATTAGTAGATAAGCATTGCACTTTTGCTGCATTAAGTTCTTACCAGTATTATACTAGCCAAAGAGAATGTTTGGGATCTAACCATCTCTCTCGTATTTGGAGAAAACAAAAAGAGGCCAATTAGTAGATAAGCATTGCGCTTTTGCTGCATTAAGTTCTTACCAGTATTATACTAGCCAAAGAGAATGTTCGGGATTCTAACCATCTGTCTCGTATTTTAAGGATAACTTTCCAGGCATATCACAGAGAACCAATAAGATATAAATGCAATGGTGCTTTCACATTTAATGCTGAAAGTTAGGTCAAAAATCTGAGTCATGAAACTGAGATTGCAGTGGTTGTTACCACTGATCCTGAATCCTACAGCCTAGTCACAGATCAGAAGAACCATTGCATGTATGCCAACAGAAGCTGGAAGAATTATGCCATGGATGCAACTCCAAGCTGAAGACCGCTTCCAACTACTGTGCTACAGCAAGAATTTATCACAGAGAGGTGGTCTGGAGTCTCACTTTAACTATCTAAACAGGGAAATTGAAGATCCCAAGACAGGGCAAAGGAAGAAGCTAGAGACCGTGGAGGTTTCTTGTGATGCAGAGAGCTGAAGGAAACCAAAAGACCTGTACTTAAAAATCCTGCAGCTCAGCAGAACAACTCCTTCCAGACAACAACTGTATTCGTACTGAGTGAAGGGTAAGAGAAACAACTCCTTCCAGACAACAACTGTATTCATACTGAGCGAAGGGTAAGAGCGTATCAGTAACTTAACATAATATATGTTAAAATGAAAGGTGTTCCAATTATGGCCCAAACTCCAATTAAGGTTGAAAATGATGAGCAACTAGGATGGTCCAAATAGCCTTAATACAGCCTTAAAACAAGGTGATAAGTATGGAAGTACAATTAGTAGAACATAATGGTTGGGGCTGCAGATTACACTAACCCAGTTTTATCAAGTCCTCTTTGTTAATTTTAGCGTATCACCATAGGGCAGGGTTAAGATTGCCCAGGGAGCCTTAACTGCATTTCCAAACCACAATGGTTTTCTTTCAGGCAATTCGAATATTACAGATGTCTACCAAGTTTGTAGCAGAGGAAAGGAGTTTTTATGTAACCAGTCACATTTTAGCCTTCAGTTTAAAAAGAAGCGTGGTTTTTTTTCTAGTTTAAGAAAAAAAAAAATTGGGGGTATACAGACTAGTCCTTAATTTACCACTAAGACAACATTCAAAGAAGAAAGCCCATTGTGGTGGTAATGGTGGGGATTTATAACATGGTTGCCTGAAACAACAGATCATGGCATACAAGCAATGCTCTAACAAAGTGACTCTGAAGTGCAATTATTGATATAGAACCAAGAGAATGACAACTTTCAAGCCTCTCTAATCACTTGGTGAATTGATCTTCCTGCAATGCAGAGTGACTCTCCATTTATCAGGGATGGATGTCATTAAAGGTGCACTATCATCAGTTTTCCTGCACATACACTTTTGAAAATTAATCTGGTTTTATTGACCAGATTTGCAACCTTTTAACTAAATATCTTTACTATTAGCATGAAACCTGAGGCTTTAAACTCAACAGACATCACTTCTACAAATTCTAGCCAGATGCTCCATCTTCGTCATGGTGGTAAGGTTGCTTGATTCAACCCCTTTCACAGCAGAGGAATGAGACCAATTTTGATTTCTCCAAATGAAGAGCAAGTTAGGCAGAAAGTTCTGACAAGCACTCAAGATGTAATTTTCTTCTGTTCACAAGGAAGATGATCAGCACTCTGTTTCTATACTAACAGACTGGTTTTGTATCTCAAGTTTTCAAGCTATCACCCAGTTATAACAGCTGCTTCTCGAATTTTAGTAATTCCCTTTTTCTGCTGCTATTTGCACTGAGCAACCCCATGTGAGAATATTTAAACTATGAAGATTTGCTTTACGTAAATGGTAAATGAACGGTGAAGTGTAGCAAGGTTGATTTATCTCAGGAATTTGACAGCTGTACTGCCTGCATTTTTGCCAATTAGTTGACCAAGAGCATTTTTACACTTCATTTTTGTCCTTTCCATTCTCTGAATTTCCTACCAGGCACCCATGAATGAGGGCTGTAAATGGAACAGGGATCAAACAAATCTAACTTGGATTGCAGAGGCACCAGTCAGATTTGGGACTTAATTTTATCAGGGGTTTAATGAACAGGTAGACAACACCTCCATCAAAGAGCTTCTGTCTTTAAAACATGAGGGTATTTCACTTGGTGTACCCCCTACAGAAGGGTTTATACCTAGTATAAGGGTTCCTTATCCATCACAGTAGCTCCTGAACCATCACTCACTTTCTAGTAGTGCTATAAATGTTAGTAATAATGTTTAAAAAAGTTGAAGTCCTCCAATATTAAGGTAGGATTGTTCTTTGAAAGATACCTGTGCACATATATCACTGTGAAGTAACATGTTTGTTTTCACTTCTCTTCAGTTCGGAAGTGAAGAGTCTACAAAACAGTTGACTAAAAAAAAAAAATTAAAAATTCTATTTAAGGGGCTAGAGATGTTTAGACAGGTCTACAAAAAATCCAGCTTGGGTCTTTGTGAGTCACGTGTCCATAATGATGATTCTAGGAGCTCATTGAAGTAATCGTGTTGGTGCCAATTTGGGAGCTGCACAGAATGCTTTTGGTTATGTTCATGGTCCCATGGCTATATGCACAGGGACTCAAGTACATCTCCTACTTCTTGGGTCAGAAACATGCCCTGTCACATCCCATCTCTGCATTAGTGAGAGTTCCAGGCAAACATTAGTCAGAAAAAGAAAACCTGAGCTGCTGGATCAGAAGGGAGCTGTAGCATATCCCAGTCAGGAACCAAAACCAGACATTCAGAAAAACAAGGTGGAGAGGTGAGAGGTGAACTTCAGAGCACTCCCACCTCATACTCTAGACGCAATATAGGGTTAAACCAATCAATAAAATCCAGCTAGATTTTTTTCCCTGGGTAACATCAGTTGAGGACAAAATGAAGGTTATTCAAAGGCCATAACTGTGGATATATTCCTCTTAGAAGGGTTAAAAACTTTTAAAATTTAAATGCATCTTGTAAATTCAAAAATCAATTTATACACTCAGGACAGAGCAAAGGAGAGAAAGAACTCACAGTAGCACTCATGTTTACTAAGAAACCGCCAATGGGCCAAACCAAAAATAAGGGCTTCCTGCTTATGATTTCATAGCACTGTCCCTAGAACCTAAATGCACTGGAAAGACATCAACACCAACACACTGAGAGAGGCAAAGGTAGCAAAATCTTGTGTATTGCCGTCTTTTCCTGGAAGTACTAAGGATGGCGTTAAAGAGTTTACAGTTCCGAGCAGAGACAGACAGAGTAAGTCTACTAAACAGGAAGTCATTGTTTAGTTTTATTTGTTTGTTTTCATATGTTCATTCATCCACCATACTTTCCATTCTCACCATCACTCTTCTGTGGCACCCACTTTTGGCCTTGCCACTTACCAACACACAGAAGAGGCAGTTTTTCCATCAGCAAACCAGAGCATCCCAGTCTCTGGTCCAGTAGGGACCAGCCAGGCATGGTTCACTTTGAAAAATAATGCTAACTAAATCTCTAAAGCTCTTTTTTAGTTGTCAAAAAAGAAAATTACCTTACCATTCACATAGCAAGACCGTTTGTCAATATCCAAAGTGTAGCCAGGCAAACAGGAGCAGATGTAAGACCCTGGAACATTGATACAGGTTTGGCCACAGGTTCCCAAACCGCCTTCAAGGCACTCGTCGACATCTGAAACATATTTTTGAACAGATCAGGAAAATTCAGCTAGCAAAACCAGCAAAGAGCAAAAAGAAAGAATATCCTTGACATAGTTATCTAATTGGTCACAAAATTTAATATCCCATCATTAAAAAAGGAGAAGAGGATGGCTGTATTGCTTCGTGCATTGGTTTCAGAATTATGGTTTTGTCCGTTGTCACATGCACAGTGATTTTTTCTTTTTTTTTAGAAGACTGTCCAGGGAAATTACTGTTCTCCCCGGTGTCTGGGCACTCTGGTCTCTGATTGCCCAAACACAGTGAACAGACTTGCCTCGTACTCCATTTCTGTGATTTGCATTATTATTTGCTATGCAAATGATGCCTGCAGCTGCTTCTACAGTAATAATTTTGCCAACAAATTAACGGACTCTGCAAAACAGCAAAGTAGCAAACAGACCGCCACAGCACTGAGTTCCACATTGAGCTCATTTTGGTTTGAGTCAACTCTCAAAAATACATACAAAACACTAAAAACCCTGCTATATTCTGACAGCAACAAGCCCAAACCAAGGCAACACGCAAACTAATTAGAAACTTGGCTTTTAACTGGTAGATTAGGCTACAGTCTTTAGGAATTAAAAGATATTTGACATATTTATGGTGTTTTATCAGGGCTTGAGGCAGTAACTATTAACTAAGTCCTAAATTAAAGACTTGATTTTTCAAAAAAAGGTCACCACTGAGGAGCATATTTGACACTAAGGGGGAAAGAAATTAACCCTATGGCAGTACCAGGGATGATTGTCCCAGAAAATTTAGATAAACTTCGGTTCCTACTGAAAACAAATACATCTGATAGTACCTTCCCGAGGTACTTGACATCTGGCAGTACCGTATCCTGGTATATTTCTTGTATAACCACTGTGAGGGTTGCTCTAAGGAGCAGCTTTTTCCCTGCCCAAGATCTATTTGATGTCAGTGGCTTTTGTTCTGGGTTTTATCGTCTGACTTTGCACATGCAGGAAAAAAGGAATCAACACAAATTGTTTTAGAGACACATTTGATTAAGTCACTGAAGGACATTGATTCCTAACCAAAACTACATATATGTATTGAGTTATTCCAAGTACAGCTGACAACAATTTTTTTTTTTTTTTACTGTATTCCTGATCAAGAATTTTGGGCAGTGGAACAGGAGCTTCTCCTTGGATAACTTATCTTAGATGATCATCTAAATGAAGTGCAAATTATCACAGTGCTTCAGGAGGTCTGTGAGTGTTAGGTAAGGATTCCCTTAGCTCAAAGAAGGTTGGAAATGGCACCTCATAACTACAAGGAACTGCAATTTAACCAACTCAACCAGCACTTTGAAAGAAACTTACTTCTCAGTAACCTAGGGAGAGCTAAGCAACCAGATCTCTGATATCCCGTGGGTCTGGGAAACTGTCTCCTTTAACTGCTTTAAAAAACTACCTGCAGCAGAAGTGTACAGGGGTTTCTTCTGTGTCAGGTATCAAAGTTGTTCAAAAAGAATGTCAATGCTTTCCAGCCACCTAACATGTCTGTACAGACTAGGGAATGTTTCCATATTGTTTTCAGAGTTTTCCCACAATGTTATGTTCCATGTAGCAGATGAACTAATTTGACAATATATGAAACAAAATCAGAGCACACACAACCGATTTCTGTTGAACAGATTATGAAGGTAAAGCAGAAGCATTTTCAGCAACTTAATTCCATAAAGCACTCTAATTCTAACCCACAATCTTCTTCAAACAATCAGCTTTCAGGAGCATATTTTCCCACACGTACTAGGGATGTACATGCCATTCTCCACAGCATTAAAGGAGTAACTCTTCCAAATCCCCACTAGAAAGGCTTGACTGGCTTAGAAGTTTGTTAATGGGCTACAGAAACCGTGAGCTCCAGGCTGCCAGTTTAAAACTAGCTACTCCTGGCTAACATTGCCTGGATGTCATTAAAACTAAAGGGCTCTTTGATAACGCGTACAGGAGGGCTTTGGTGACCTCAGCTCATTGTCACAGCTGCTGTCAGTGTTAGCAGAGACGTGAAGGAGTCTGCAGGCATGAACACTGTGTCTGTCCCTGATGTACTGGTTTTCAAATGGAGTAACGGGCTGACTAAGCCAGAGGGTTAGTCTGATCTAGTCACCAGTACAAAAGCAGGTGCAAGACTGTTGAAAAGGCTACAATGTAATTCATATTAGTCAGTATACTTTTATGACAATAGTGGCTTGTTAAATAAACATGATGTTATTTCTCTGAGGAAATCACAATTATGGGTTATAAAGGCAACTGTGTAGATGTAAGATTGCTAAAGACAGAGGTCATTTGACTAAGCAATGTGAAACACTGATGAAAGAACTATTATTCAATCACAATAAAGAGCACATTAAATATAAATAAGAAAGATAGGCCTGACCTACAGATTGTATCTGGAAGACTGCTTACTCTGAAAAGGGTTTGTGGTCCTACTGGACAGAAAGCTGACCTCTTAGCATGTTACTGGGCAAGAAAATTTAAATCACAACACATATAAACGCAGGAGAAATGAATAACAGTGGGGAAATAATTTTACTTCTGTATATGGCAGTGGTCAGACTATATTGGCATGCTGTTTGTATTTCTCAGATAGAGGTTCTTAAAGGATCCTGAAAAATTAGAAAGTGTGTACAACACGGTTAAAAAGCCCAATTTGAGGGTAAGGAAAAGTGCCTTTCTGTGAGACACTTAAAGAGCTCAGTCTGCTTAGACTATCAGAAAGAAGCTTGGAAGAAGGACTGATCACAGTATATAAATACCTTCACAGAGGAAAATTACCAGATTTTCTAAAGGACGCTATAATCTTTTGCAGGGAAGATTTAACAAGGACTGATGGCTGAGAATTGAAGCCAGGGAAATAAAATTTAGATGTTAAATTCACATTTTAACAGGAAGTGTGATTCACTAAGGGAGCTAGCTACCAAAAAAAACCTGTGAAGGTGTGAAAAACATCAGTGGATATTCTCAAGTCAAGATCAGACTGGGCAGACATGCCTTAACCAAGCACAGGTTACTGAGCTATGTACCAAGGTAACTGGACAATGCCCTGTTATTTACAGGATGGATTTTCCAGCTTTATATCAGTGTACAAAACTGACTCTCCAAGAAAGAGCACGCTGATTGATCAGGCCACAAGAATTTACACTGCCTCCCCAGTAATTGTACTTGAAGAGAGGATTTCAGGGTTATCAATCTGCCCATTTTCATCACCACCAAAGTTCACATAAAAAAGCAAATCCCACACATACTGAAAAAAGAGCAATCGCTCCAGCTGAAGAAAGGCTATAGTGGAAGAATAACTGCCCAATAAAAGACAAGGGGCACAGCGGTGACAGGCGGCGGGGCCACCAGAGAATGCCCCTTCCAGCGGTAAACAGGAAGCGCCAACAGACACAACACTATTGTAAAACACGCCGCAGCGCTGTGGACATTCAGCTTCTGTGGCGCTAACAATGGAAGAGGGTCCTGTGCTTAACATGCTGTCTTCTTTGCTTAAAGTAAAAAAAAAAAAAAAAAAAAAAAAAAAAAACAACCTGGTTTTTAGGTTTAGGAGAACTCGATCATAAAACCATCCATCAGGTGTAACTAGCAGTGCCTTCACCTGCACTCTTAGTGCCAAAGCAAAGCACAGAGTTGCATCCTGCTGTAGCTGTTTTAACGTGTCCTGGCAACCACATCCCCCAGTGGGAACTTTACCCTGTGAAAGAAATCGGCTTAGTGAACACAAAAGCTGTCTGCAATGCCCTGACAGCCAGCCCTGAAAAGAAGAATGAGGTTCTGCTCAGTTCTCAAAGGCTTCTTTATGGAAAAAATGCCTTGAGAATCAGCAAAAACGATGAATCATGTCATCATGATGTTGGCAGCTCTCAATGACTTTGCATACAAATATGCTACTTTATTGAGAGTCCTGAGAAATGCTCTGATTGCAGAAGGTGAAGCATTAGTATGCCTGGCAGGGATACAGAGAAACCACAGTGAGACAGAACTTGAGTTTCGTTATGGCCCCAGACACATACATTAGATACATAAAATATACATGTGCAGATACACACACTCAAATAACCTCACTCAAATTTAGTTCCTGTGGAGATGGACTGGGGATTAATTCAATCTAGCTATATCTAGCCACTATCATAATCTTTCAACGAGGTTGAACATGAAATTTCGTCTGGGTGAAAGCAGCCCATCCCTTTTATCTATTTTGTTAAAAGCATACATCTCCAAGAACAGAAGATAGCCAAAATGGAAAAAGATGCTCCATCTATCAGCAGATCACAATAAAATAGATGAGGCACAGCTCAGTATCTTCTTTCTCTAATTTTAAATGAGGTTTAAAGTACAACCTGATCACTCACAATTTTTGAGAGGATAGAGGCTGTGAAGTGCTCGAATACTATGGTAAGAAATCAATGTGAATACAATAAGGTGTTATCAACTCCTGGACTCTTTCAGTCCAGAGCCACAGAGGTGATCATATCACAGATATGACAGCAAGAGCAATCATATGATTTAATTAAGTATAAATTAGAATCAAATTTAGAATTGAAATAAAATTCAGAAACCACTTGTAGACATCTTGAAGAGAAATGGCAAAAAAAGATCTCAAGGGACTACAATATCTTTAGTTTTCTACCTTTCTGGGCTCAGATATCAAGGGTTTGAGCACTAGAATGGAAAAAATATGTATTTTGGTTTTGTCTTTGAAATAAATTCTATATGTAAAGCCGATAACAGTATGTTGAAAGTTGCATGATCCAGGACCTCTGCTTCCTGGATCATGCAACTTTCAACATACTGTTATTGGCTTGCCTTTCAAAGATTAATTTCATGAGGCTATCGTCTGTCCCTCTTTGAAAGTCATCAGCAAATACTGTCATCCAGCCCCCTTTAAAATCAGGTTTCAAATTAGGTACTAGAAAGTAGTCAGTTTTGTTTAAAACAGAACACAAAATTAGTATCTGCCATTTTCCACTGAGCAAACAATGATGAGTCTTGCAGTATTAGTCATTGGTCCTGGAGTCTGCCCCTTAGCCCTCTTCAGGGTTAAGCTTCATGTGAAGTGTGATGCCATTTCTGTCATTTCTTGTAACATATTCGCCTCCTTCCTATTTTGATCTAAGTTTTTACAGCTAAAGTATTTGTCCACATTCAGCTGGATCCAATTTCCAGAGAATTCAATGGGAATCTTCTCGTGAATTGGTCTGTGGGTTCAGACCCATGTTCAAGAATTCCTGACTACTATTTGGTAACAATATTTTCAAGCATCTTTCCCCAGGGCAGTCTAATATGAAGTGAGCTAGCTGGAAGACAAGGAACTGAAGCTACTGAAGCTACTGAAAACAAGGAAACAAGCATGCCTCGACTGCAGCCCTTCTAAAATACAGAGGGATACAGTGGGGTCTCAACAGGTTTATCATGACAGGGGTAGGCAACACAATTGCCCATTTCATTCGCTCTTACTGCTCCTTATGTGATGCTTGCAAAGAAAGGATGGCTGTGAATTAGTAAGGTTTTGGCATTTCATATTTCTCAGAATACAACATAAGAAGTTTTAACAGCGTGTCTTCAGAAGGCTGCATGGAGCAAAGTGAAGCCAGGATTTAGCTAATTAAGGTGAATTTAAAGATGTAATACAAAGAGGAATAACTTAATATTCTGCATCATCAGTGCTCCATGGCGAGAGAGTGGTGAACAGTAAGAAAGGAGGAAAGCTTGAGACGCAGAAAGAAGTATCTGACCAAAAGAGCTGCCCTAGATAGCTGCAGTTGTCACCTTCAGTTGCAGGCTGTAGCTCTGTAGGAATGTGCAGAATGTTGGCCCTGAAGAAGTGACAAGGTCTGATCAGTTAATGTCAGAAGTTAGTAGAGATGTGCAGAATTTAAGAACCTACAATTAGGTAAACTTCAATAATGTGGGTTGTGTTTTGCCTTCTTCAAAAACTTTTTTACAATATCGTTGGGTTTTTTTCCAAATCACTATCTTCCTTTACTTTTAGAACTTAGAAAGTGAGTATTCAAAGTCAGCCCTGAAGCCAAAGTACGCCTCCAGTCTTGCAGTGTCCAGAACATAATATATTCACCTGGGGTAGCCCAAGACTAAGAAGCACTAATATCTAGTATAAAATTGATAATGCAAGGGGCTGTTCGAGGGGTTTCTTCAGATAAACAGTGCCATGTGTGAACCTTTTTGTTCTAGAGTGGGGAAAGCATCTATATACCATGAGAGAATAAAAAATAGTGTTGTTAAAGCGGTACTTCAGGAGGTCACAGGCAACTGATTCCAACAGGCATAAGGCCCATCCCCTGGTGTACCATGTATGCTTACATGGTCGAATATGTTAGAATTCAAAGCTCTCCCAGGACCAGCTGTGAACATGTTTTTACCTTGTAGGAATAATAACTCCTATGTAGCCCAGACCATTTTTCTTTAGAGGTAGAAAGTTCTATGTTTTCAGCGCTGTCTAAGAAAGATGAGTTATTTAAGGGTAACTGAGTCCCCAGTCCTGACATCAGCTTAAAATAAATCATTAAATCAAGATGGCAATGTCAAAAATTGCAGAAATGCTTCCAATTCTACCGTAACTTGCCAATAAATTGATATGTTCATTCACCAGACTAGTCTTGTTCTGACCTCATGATCTGTTCTCCCATACTTTCTCTCTTATAGACCTTGCTGTTGTGGGACATACAACCCCTCTGAAAGGCCTCTCCTCTCTTGGCATACCAAGTCAGGATTCAAATAATCTCTCTTAAAATAACTGTATAAAATTATGTGAGACATTTAGGGTTAGATTTCATTATCCTTCCACAGGATGAGAAGATCTTTGATCTTTGAATATCCCTAGAAATAAAAGGAACTAATTAAGAAGTGAGCTATTTAGCAATGTAAGAAGAGCACGACCTAGACCTTCATCTGTAGTGGCAGTGTGGAAAACAAGTCTAGAAAAGCCTACACACTTTCCAGTAAGTGTTGTTTGTAACAGTTCACTAACAGAGAGCAGACACCTTCTCAATTCAGGGTAGTCCTTGTGGCTGGCAGGGTGCCACCACAGTCACAGACGATAAAGAACATTTTACAATTGGTGTATTTATTACAGCTCAAGAAGAATGGTCGCCAAGCCACAGTTCAGCTTGCTGTCGTTGTTCACAGTTCAGTGGTATGAGTCATGTCTCCCACTCACCACTTTTACCCCCGCTATTACCTTCAAAGCCTGCCTCCAGCTTCCTACCACTTGCTTCCACTGCACCCTCTATCTCACATAATTAATGAACTAGAATATCATACATCCGGTCTTCTGGTCAGAACATGACTTGTGTATCCAGCACAGAGAGGAATGAACAGGGGAAATCCATTCCAAAAAAGCATCCTTCAGTCTTACATTTCATGTCAAAACTTCACCTTTGCTTAGTCCCCTGTAATCCAGTGTTCCCTAATTAAAAAGATACCCTAGCACACCTCATTTTTCGTTTATTCTATGTTACACGGAATTGCTCAGAGTATGTCACAGTAACGTTAGCTCTTATGCAAAAGATGACTTCTATTACTATTTCTTGCAGAGTTTGCTGAGCTACCGGCCATTCTGTTTTGGTGCTTTACCTAGAGTCCCCCCATTCATACAGCAGCTGAACGTATCTAATTTTCAACAGAAAAGACATAATGCAGGGCAGGTTATGTCTCCATTAATGGAAGAGTGATGCACATCAATATGTGAAATACGTCAACTGAAATAAAAAATACATCTTTGCAGCCTTTTGAATGTCAATATTTAGAGTACATTTTGACTCATTAAAGAACAGCCAAGCAATTCCCTTCATGTCAGTAGCATTCTCCTGTTATACGTGAGCTCTTAATTGGGCAACCCAGTGATGTAGAAGTCATAACTAATGTACATCCTTATTAGCTTGTGGAAGCTAGGTACATACTATATTAGCAAATAGTGTGGACCTATAGGAGAGGCTGTGTAAAGTGCAACAGTTGCTGAGGATATGACATACACACTGCATATATTTCAGGTTGAGGTTACAGAGAACCAAGTCTAGTCTGGTCCCATGGACCGAATAGCCATCAACAGTGGAGAGGATAGATGCTCTCCTACAGGAACACCTTCTCGTTTAGTTTGGCCTAAAGGGCATCCAGTTTGTGCACTTTGAGAGTGCTCCACAATGTCAAGACAAACATAGTAAGAGGTGGCAGTATGGAAATTCATTTCAGAAGTATACTTCTCATTTGAATTCAAGCATCAGTGTGGAAGCACCCTAGGTGTGTTTGGACCTCAGATAAACATTGAGTCAGGTTTATCATTTGTACACAAAAAACGCCTAGCTCCTCCTCTCTCAATACAAGAGCATTTAACATGCATACTTCTCTTTTCTGCTTACAAGACGGTATTTCTTGGCAGAATGCACAGAGGAGGCACCTGTTATTAAATCACTGGAATCATATCAAGAACTGAGTCAGAGCCTCTGAAGCCCAAGCAATCTAAGGCAAAAGCATTAACTCCAAGTATTAGGTCTGTTTGCTTGAATCCTTGCAGAGCATTTCCTCACCTCCTTACTGCAAAGCCCACAACTTCATTGGCTCTGGCTTTCTAAAAATAATTGGACTTCAAGGTAGCAGGGTAGCAAGAAGGGTTCTGTCATTCTTTGTCTTACACTTTGTAAAGAATAGGAACCTGCATTTTACATGTTCCAAATCACTGGAGCTGATTATACTAATATTAGTGTCATATATTTCACTCAGACTTTAGTACTACAGTATCAAACACACCTGCGATTCATATATTGTATGAGACGTATTATTAAGTATAAGCAGATATATCTACATACACCAATAAACATAGAAAGAATAGTTTTTAAAGTTATCTAGCCCACATCTAAGTATATACTAATACATAATCATTAAAATACTCTTTCTATATGCATATAGAAATACAGAAATACACCCATACACAAATTTTACATATATAGAAGCACAAATATGTGCGTGCACATGTATTGAAAATACGGAGACACTAAAGCTATGGCAAGGAATTTTGGTAACTAGGGAACAGTTCAGAACTCTTAATGATCATATAAAAGTTTATCTTGCTTTCTGATAGTTAAACTGACAGACAAGTGACTGATTTCTGAAAAACAAACTAAATAAAATGAGTTCTGTTCATTATGAGAAGCAAAAGATATTGAGAAGAGGATTTATCAATTCTGCCAGAACAGCACATAAACAATCTGTAAAAAAATCTCTTTGAAAATTATAAAGCTCAATTGAAAGAACACAAATGCAGTTTTCTTAATCTGTGAATGGTCAGCAACTTACCTATACAAGCAGAGTTTTCAGTCTTTAATCTGTATCCATTAGGACAGTTCCAGTGCTGCAGAGCTGAGAGGCTGACAAAACCAATTTTAAAAACCACTGGCAAAAAAGCAACAAGGAAGAGAAACATAATCTTGAGGGTTTTTGGAACTGTCACTAGAGAAAAACTAGCTTGTATTCAGTCATATCCAGGACAAGATGAGCATGTGTAATCCCAAAAGGTTTCTGCAATCTCCCACTTTACGCTCAGACATCTTATCACAATACCAAGTTTTATCTTTGCCTTGCTTTTCTTGTCACTTTAGCCCTTACTGTGTCTGACTACAACCTTGAAGAAATTCCTGGGAGATTTCTTCCCCACACACGTCGGTTTTTTTCTCTCTCTCTCTTTCTTTTTTTTTTTTTTCTTTTTTGGAAGCCAAGTATGAAATGCCTGACACTCTTGCCACAAATTTAACACAGCTTAAAAGCAATGCTCGCAAGGATCACTGTGAATTTCCTCGCAAGAAGCAAAGCTGCTGTTTAAATCTTAAAAGCAGCAAATTTGGAAAACTGTTCACCACAGCCCTCAGCGGAGTACAGGGAGCGAGATCTTCAGGTACCGTCCTTCTCCAAAACGCAGTTGCTTTTTACATGCAAACTTGGACGGACTCCTCTTTTCTTTTTAAAGCTCTGCTTGCCCCACCTCTTCTCTTTTTAGTACCACTTGAGTGAACCCTGTGTTTGCAAATAGTAATGTGGTCAGTTCTTTACTACAGGGAACTGAGCCAGAATGCAGATACCCAGCCACCCATAATAAATACAGTCTATTTAGAAAAGCAGCCCCTCCTGCTTGAGAAGTACCTGCAGCATGCCAGCTAAGTTTTATTTCTCAGAGATTGTAGGCAGGTTTATACCATGCCTGTTCAATCATGATTACTTGCATTCATTTTAATATTATCATGTGTTTTACCACCAGAAACAAACTTTGTCATCAAAATATTTCATGCAAAAAGGGGAAAAAAAAAGTCCCTCTGGTTTCTCCGCTGTATTTCAACTGGAAATACAAATTGGCTTAAAGTCAAGTTCAGATCTAGGGTATGTGTTTGTAACTCTGATTTCAAAGAAGTTGCAACCATTTCTCTCAGGTCTGAATTTGGCCCTTCTGCACTTCCAGGAAAATACCTGCTGTCAGAGGCCGAGGCAACGTGTTCTGAGTCTGCATCTCTCACACATGTTGCAGTCATTTATATGCATACATCAGTGCTGTAAGAGGCTACTGTTGTGTTGCAGTGCTCTTTTACACCTGTTTTGCTGAGGTATATAAACTAGAGAAATTCCAGGCGCATCAAGCTCATAATTCTTCCAGTATTGAAAAAAATCTCCTTTTTCCCAGTCCTTTGGCCCAGACCAGCACAGAGCATGAGCGTAAGTGATTTGCTGAATTTTGAATGTGCTGAGATTTAAGCAGGTGTTTAAATGGTTGACTGTGCCAGGCTTTGTTGAGCTAACTACTGTGAGGCAAATGTTCACACAGTAACTCTTTTTTTTTTTTTTTTTTTTTTTTTAATTTCTGCAGTGTTGTGATAGAATAAATACTAATACAACAGATGGATACAGCAGCAGCATCAGACGGTAACCTACAGCTGTACAAGTTCCGTCTCTGGGAATTTCCCCCCCGCCCCGTATTCGTCTGAATCGATAAGAGTCCAGACTTGCACTGTCAGAAAACAAGCAGCATGAAACCTGATTATAAATTGGGCCACTCTCCATTAAAAGCAACTGTTTCTTGATGTTTCTGCCTGTGTGTAAGCACATTCTGCTTGCTCAATCTTCACTACTACAGCTAATGCAACTAATTGAATCCTGACTGACAAATGGCAGCCACATTTCCATATACTCTGCTCAGAACTGAGTCTCTATTCTGCATGCTATAAAATACAATAACAGTAATGTAAATTATGCAGAGCCAAACTCATGCCAAACAGCATTTGCTTCTCCAAATAGTCTCCTGGAATACAAAAGGGCAACCAATGTGAAAGCACAGTATAATGCCATCCCATCTAGGATTACAGGATCCTGCCCAGGAATTGTGGTACGTTCCAAGTGAACCTCTTTTACTAATTCTGCAGCCGTCAGTTCCTCCTGACACGATTTTCTTCAGTGTTCAAGCCAGGAGCATGCAACCTAAACAGCTCAAAAGGAATGTGTCACTTCTTTGTGAGCAACCACCAGCAGAGTGTTTGCTAGACCGTGAGGGTGGCCGTCCCAGCACAGCTCTGACCTCTTCCAGGGCAGACTCAGACAAACTCACTGAAGGAGACAAAATGAATAAGCTCTCCCTTTCCTATTAAAAGCCAGAAGCAATTTCTGCCTTACTCACATTCTTTTAGTCTCCCATTTACACACATTGTCTTTTCTGAACATCTTCCTCAATCTTCCCTCCCTCCTCCTTCCCCCCCCCCTTTTTGCCTTTACTCAAAACACAGTCAAAGGCATGTCCCAGAACTTCTCTTTTTTCTCTGAAGTAAAAGTGAAGACAGAACTGTCTGACACACCAATATTACAATGAACTTTTCTGGAAGAAGAGATCCCTTCACTGCAGTCAGGTAAGGAGCGATTAATAAAGTCGTTAATTTTACCATCCTAGAAGTATAGGAATGGTTTAAAACCAGAAAGAAAAATCTCTTAATAGTGGGATTACTCTTTTTTTACCCTCAAAAACCAAATACAGCTCAGACCAGAACTAACCCCCAGACCCACAATATGATACGATATGATCTAGGCCTAAGGATGTGAATAAGTTACTTGAAAGTGGATAGAACCGATCACCTCCCCTTAGACCAAACCAGAAAGTTCTCAGTAAAGTATAAAATGCATCAGGCTGTACCTAAACTTTTCAAACATACCGTTTTTCACCAAGTGGTTCAGCATATGGCACACAATAATTCCTTCACTCCTAAAGTCATTTAGCATTTAAGAAGTTGTTCAAACATGTTTCTTCAAAGCAAACTATTGTCACCTACAGGTATTAAGTACGGCAATTTACTTTAGTCTAGCACTCATACGATAAATTAAACTAAAATAGCACAGTAGTCTCAGTTGTAGGGCTCACCACAGAATCAGTCCAAATGATCTTAAAATTATTTGTTCCAGTACGTCAAATGCAAAGAACTGACTTAGTTTAATTTGACCTGCTGACTCAAGAGACTGATGAACTAACAACAAATAAACAATTTATTCCTTTCTTTTGAACTTCCCGCTATCTCGGCTAGCTTTGGAAGGTTTTCTTTGCCAAAGTTGGTAAAGACCAGCTAGGGATTCAAATGGAGAGGGTCTGCTCGCCTACCTTGGCAAAGAGCTGCTGATAGTTCAAGGACAGTATGCTCTGGCTGTTTCTAGAAGGCTGTTTCTGTGAAGGAAGCAGAGCTCTCCCTTAGTTTTCCAGGGCTTTCAATATCTATATTGTATTAATTAGCACACTGTTTAAATCATACATTGGTTTTTATTCTTGCTTACTGCACACTACATTAGCTTGTCAGCTCTTCGACTTCTTTTCCTGTCAGCCTCCGAAAGTTTGATTCTGGTTTTAGGCATATTCTAATCTGCTTAAAATTATATTTTGTAGTAATCACAATCCCAATTACCACCAACACAGGTTAATGATTAAATGCAAGAGTGTAGGAAATGTGTAGTGGCTACCTCTAGTACAAATAGCACAGAGCAGTGAGGAACACTCAGGTCCCACAAAACAGCTTCCAGATCCTCCCCGATGGCTCCAGGGAATCTGCCAGCCCCTGGGTCAACATGCTCATCTACGTCTCATTCTGTCAGAAAAGGTATTGCCACCAGAGCAGTAGCCGATTGACACAAGCAACTTTTACGATGACATTGGGGATTTCTGATAGCCTTCGGGAAAAATACACATTTTTGTAAGCCATGCCTAACACCTACTTACTGAAGCTTGATCTCAGGATCAGCGTGGGGATGGCTGACTCTGATCACCATGCTTTCTCTGACATGACAGTGCTTGATTCAGTACTGCTAATGTCATTTCAGCAGGTTGAGCCTGCATCGTGTATAATCCTGACAAAAGGGACACTATGTGATGTTAAATTGCCTGTCAGACAGAGCAGGGGGAGGCACAGCATGAGAGAGTGGCATATTCCAGATCTTAGGAATGCCTGAAATCTCCTCCCGAGGTATGACGGCCATTCTGGTTTTGTCCTCAAGCATGTCACTCATTGTTCTCTTCAACAATTTGGAGATGATTTTTGGCTGGCAGGATGTTGTAATTTAATTTATTAGTAAAATTAATTGAAGAGCGGGGCTTTAAATCATGAAAGCTTTATGAAAACCAAGTGCTATTGTAGGTAATCTCTTTCCAGTTGTCTCAATTTGTTTCACAGCAGCAATTAAAACAAATACCCACTGAATTTTTTTTGGTAGTTTGAGTCCCATGTCTTTTCTGCTAAGGTTACAATTTTTCCTACTGCAATATGATTTTAAGGAAAAGAAAAAGACCAAAAAAAATCCATGTTAAAACCATACTGTTAATTATAACCAATATTTTCTTTTTAAAGCAGTTTTATGTTTAACATTTTGACAGGCACCTTGCACCAGTTGCTGTACAGCTAGACCACACTGGAATCCACAGAAGGATCCAGAAAGTTAAATATGCTCTCTCTCGTATCCAGACAGTCAGAACAAGAGCGAAACATTCTGGGGAAGCCACATAGCACACTACTGACTTATGACATTTATCAATGTTAGATGATTACATTAGGCCTCTATGTTAGCAGACAGAAAGGAGTAGTTAAAATAGCATGTTGAAACAGTCATTTGGCTCTCTGAAGTGGAGATAAAACTGAAGATAAAGCAAGTAATTTGTTACCGTGACTAAGGTCTACGCAGCTTGCTACGTGAGAACATTTAAGGCAGAATCTTAGTAACAGGTATGGCATTACTTCACTATCAGGGTCAAAAAATGTATCCTCCCCATGGTTTTTTGCTTGTTTCCATCCCAGGGATAGCTCTGTTTCACCCACAGCAGAATGATTTCTAGTGCACGTACTAAAACAGCCACTCTAACAGATCTCTCAGAACAAAGGCACTGGCTGAAATCTGATTTCACTGATTGACAGAGTTGCT